AGAACACTCCTTCTGTGGGAGGTTCCCAGAGCCAATTGGACAAGGGAGGTGGGTGAAGTCAGTAAAGGAGAGCAAGCCAAGATAGTATGGTTTGTGAGTTAATTAAATCCACTGATCAGAGTTCAGAGGGGAGGCATGAACTCCAGGTAATTATGATGTGTTTTTTTAGACAAATCATTTCATCTGCTGCTCAGATATAGTCAAGCATGCTTCATGGCCTCATCGTCTGATATGGCTAACCCAGTCCAATATGGGACAGCTCATCTGTTTTTTTACACTGTTTCAGTTTTCAAAATAAAACTCTGAAACACGTCCTCCTCTCTGAGCTTAGTGTGGCTGACTTTCTTCACAATGCCTCTTTGATAAGGATATATGACACCACTTCATGTGTGTGCGTCCACATTTGTGTTGTTTGTGTTACATTCCCATTACACTCTGCCCCTCCTTCTACTCTCCTCTTTTCAAAGGTCTTTCTCTCTTAGAAACGTCTCATTTTATGCTGTCATGTTTGTCTTTCTGTTTATTTTCTCTGCAGAAACAGCAACATTTTAACAGCATAATATCAGGTTTCATTAACATGTCGCCACAGCATCAGTTGCCTTGTAAAGTCAAGCTTTTGTTTCATTGATCTAGGCGCTCCCCCGTGCTTATGCATGTGTAAGAGCTAACTTAAGGTCATCCAGCCTCTAGGTGGCGACAGCGGCTCGTGTCCGCCCCGAACACGTAACTTCCGCTCAAGCTTCCACCAAAACAAAGTCGAGAAGTGGCTCAATAAGCAACCGTAAACTGTTGCGGGTTTAGGATGAATACTGCTCTGAAGCATTGGAAGGAGGCCGCTAGTCTCATTTTAGTTGCAGGCAAGAGGCTCGGAGTGGACAGGTTACCGTCGAGGACACCGCTGACCTCCGGTTCCTCGCCGGGGAGCAGCCTTGGACGCTCACACCTGCCCCACAGCTCCTGCTTTGATTACGATGTTTTACTGCTGAAGCGAAGCGGGGAAAGTGGATTCATGCCCAATGCTTACGTGTTTCCCGGCGGTACGACAGAGTCTTCGGATTTTTCCAGTGAATGGTTGGACATTTTCGAATCTTTCCGGAACTTTCCTAATTTTGGTTTACGAAGTGTCAAACAACCGGCAGAGACGAGGCCTCCGATCTATGCCACAGACCGACTGAAACTGGGCTCTCCTATCCCGGGAGAGGTCGCCTTCAGGATCTGTGCCCTGAGGGAGACGTTTGAGGAGTCAGGTGTGCTGCTGTTTGTGTCTAAATTGGAACAGGAGAGTTTGTTAAAAAGTCTGGAGAACCGATGTGCCTCTGATCAAGTCCCGCATTACACAGTAAACGAGCTGTGCGGTAGTGAGCTCATCAAGTGGAGGGCCCTGGTGAACCAGGACCCCTCCAACTTCATCAGGATGTGCAGAGAGCTGCAGGTGTTGCCCAACATCTGGGCTTTACACGAGTGGAGCAACTGGTTGAGTCCCACCCGTTTGAAGAGGAGGTTTGACACAGCTTTCTTCATGTGCTGCCTGCAGGAGACCCCACACACTCTGCAGGATAAGAAGGAAATAGTGCACTTTCAGGTGGGGTAGGTTAAATAAAGTCAGCTTACAACATTCATTGAACATACTGTATTTAATGTGCTTTACATAGATGTTTAAATACAGTTACAGTAAGTACAGATAAAAATAATAACTGTACATGTTTCAGTCATCAGTATGGACATTAAGCAGCCACTGATCAGTGATCGAGTTCAAATGTAAGTTTTCTGATGTGGAAATGGCAGTGTAAAGGTAGACCACTTCAGAAATGGTTATATAATGAGAGCTATTTAAAGAGCCCTTGGCTTGCTTTTTCTTGTCTTCTGACTTGTTTCTGACAATGTTGCAATGGTGAATTATCATCTTAGATGTGACCTAAAGCTCAAAAAATGTCTCTGCCATTTGGCGAACCAAACCGAAGGAAGAAAAACACTACTTCTGTCTTCTGTGTTTCAGTGGTCCACACCGACAGAGGCCCTGCAGAGCTACCAGGGACGGGAGATTTGGATCCCCCCTCCACAGTTTTACGAGCTCAGCCGCATGTGCCGCTTCCCTCTGCTGAAGGACCTGCACAGCTTTGCCAGCCAGCGTGCCACAGAGGGCTGCGAGCGGTGGATGTCTGTTAACTTCTCACAGAATGGATACAGGATATCAGTGCTGCCAGGTGCTGGTTGTCTGCTTCATCTAATCCACCTCCAAACCATAAACGAAGCATTCAAAGTGAATGTTTTGTCTTCTCAGTGATGTATATTATTTGATATGGTGATGGTGTTCTGAATATTGACACTGTTGGTTGCTCCGATGAGATGATCATAGTACAGGGTTAGTATGAGACTTTAAGAATGAAACTTTAGGAGAAAGAAACAGGTCGTGGTGGTTTAGTATTAACTAGTGTTAATCACAACTGTGCTGTCCTGGAAGGAAAAAGCTGTTCAGTAGATTATTTATGTGAAAATAATGAATGTTATGGCTGACATGACGGTGCACGGTTCCCCAGCTGATCCCCAGCCCCTTACAGGCACTGTTTCAGTTTCCTGCTCTTGAGGTTAATGTTTGTGATGAAACAGTAATGCCATAAAACTATTTACCATAGCATAATCATTTGCTCATGTTTCAAATCATTTTTCTTTTTTCCCAGGTGACAGATTTTACCCACTGGACACTTTGGGAGAGAACAAAGTGGATTCGAGCACAGGCCCTCAGCTGAAAGATTTACAAGAGGGTTGTCCACTGCACCGCATGGTGTTCTGGGATGCATACACCACAATTCTTCATATCACCATCAAAACCAAGTACAACCAGCTGCTACCGATTGTTGAGCCAGCCTTGTCACATGGCTCAAATAGTCAGCTTTCACTTGTCCCAGCATCTCCTCTGTACACATGGAATGAAAGCCACCCTCACGTTGTTATTATGGTGTTTTTAATGGTCATACTGACAGCTTCTGGGTTTTGTTTCATTAATGAGGCATTAATATGACTGTGAAATAACACTTTTATTGTGCCAAAGTGGCTGTCAGAGACCCCATCCCCCCCACCCCACCCCGGCCCACTTGTGTTGAAATGCTAAGAAAAAATAAATTTTATATGAGAATAAATGCTGAATAGATTTTTGTTTGCTCAGCTTTATAAAAAAAAGTCAATTTTATTTTGAACAAATTTAGCTTGTAACCATAGTAACAGGCTTACTACAAAATATATGAAATGGATTTATAGACAGTCCCTGCAGCTAATAGGTGATATGGGTGGCTGTGTTTTTCCAGCACTTGTGAGAATCCAAATCCTGCCTCCAGAAAACAAATGTAAGTCAATGTAAAGACCTAGAGTGTGTGTGTGTGTTCGCTGCGGCCGTCCCTCTCAGTAGTCATGCGTATGTCAACAGTGGAAGCTTGCAGGGAGCTTCCACCTTTTGGGTGGCTTCCTCGCTTGCAGCAGCGTCCTTCATGGCAAATTAATGACTCATGAAATAATCTCTGTCAAATAGGTTGTATCCTGTTTTCTATTAATATATTCATTTCTTATTAGTCATCAGTATTCATTTGATCTTTTTACTGATGCAGTCAAAATACTTTTAGGTGAAATGTGCGACAATGCGACATGGTTTGTGTCTGAATAAAATAAGGGGAATAATACGTCTTGATGTAATTTCACATCTACTGTCACAGTGTAAAATGTCAGTTTGTATAATCTAAGTCAGCAGCTTTTCCCTCCTTTGTTAAGCAGCCTGTTAGGATACAATGCACAGGAATTAGGTCAGTGTCAATCTCCAGTGTTCAAATTATTTGTCACTATAAAGGTTATTTTAAAGTAGCATAAACTATATTTAAAACAAAAATACACACTACCAGTGAAAAGTCTGGACACACTTTCTCATTGAATTGAATGGGAAAGTGTGTCCAAACCTGAAGTGCACTTTAGATGTGACAGTGGGATGCTACAGTGAACAAGCTTAACAAAAGGCTAAATCAGGACAAGGGCTGAATAAACGCCTTCAAAATGATGATAAAGTTACTTTATATTCAGAAAGGAGGAGATGTATACTGTGAAGATTAAATCTACTGATTTTGGATTTGTCTCTAAAGAATCTTTAACCTGACTGATTCATTTTCTTCTAAAATGATGAGGCACGTTAACAAGTCAGCACCCTTCAATCTGATTTTCATTTTTTAACACGTTTTATCTGTGTGTGTGTGTGTGTGTGTGTGTGTGTGTAGGATGTTTGTGGTAGAAAGGAGAAGAGCTGAAATAACACTGCTCAGCCTTCTGTGCTTTTTGTGGTGGAGAGTCCATTGAAGGTTTCTGTAGCAACCCACAACCTTGGAAACCCACCATCTTCATTCAGATGAGGTGACGCTGCGCTGGTCCGTTTCTGTAGCTGGCCTCTCTGCCAACCAGTCGTCTTAATTTATTTGTTTCTAAGCGACAGAGTGAAGCAAATAAATGGCTCTGTCTTTCAAAACACCTCTAAAAAAACTGCAGAGAAAGTCGATTTACTCACCTGTCACCAACCAATTTATATATCTAATGAAACACATACTCTAAAACTTTGTTGTGACTATTTTTAGAATTGGGATCTCTAGATGACAATGCAAGTCTGTTGCGAACTTCAGGAGGTCCATGAGTCACTGTGTACAGAGTGTAGTGCCTCGGTTAATAACAAGGATAAACAAGATGTCAGAAGCCTCCTGTGAATCGAGTGTGAGCGCAGCATGTTGTCGGCTCCATAGCATCGGTCTTAAAATGCCAGGGGTGTGCTTGCTGTAAACAATCATCAGAGACCCTCCTCCAGAACAGAGGAAGTGCTCATTAGAGTCCATTTACAGCTCATTTGAACTGTTGACCTGCAATTACAGAAAACTTTACATTAAAATTCCCAATGGAGCAATAATTCAACAGAGGTCGTTGTAAAACAATGATGACAAGTTGCTGATGTCTTCCAGCCACTGGACTGTAGATCATAAGAGATATGAGTTATTAACCCTGAGGTCAATCTGCTTGGATGACTAGAGCCACCAGCAGTCAGTGACAACCCGCTTCATATCTGAGGGTCTTTGTGAATCGGTAACACGGGAGCAGCACACAGTCCTCACAAACACTTCTCCTTAGTTGTTAGTACTGAGATCCCTTTACAGCCTTATCATGTTCTGCCTAAAAAGTACTGTAATGTAGTGTTTATTCCTACAGTACATCTTTATCTTACTATAAAATTATTACTACAGTTACTATAAAATGTATTTCATTATGGAATAATCATTAAAATTCAAGTTTTGAAACTGTTTTGTGACCTATAAGTCACACAGACAGATTTGTTCCAAATAATTAAAAACACTTACACATAATTATTTAATAAGCTGTTGGAGGTGGTTTCATTTTACCAAAATCTAAAACTACAGTGTACAGGAAGATATCCGGCATTGGCAGTGGAATTTACTTTGAGTTTACATTACTCAACAAAATAATGTTAATAGGTTTTAAACAAAATCATTACATTAATAATATTTGAGAAGGAACTTTGGAATTTAGGTTTTATTCTTATATGTAAAGGTTTCTATGGGCATGTCACATTAACTGAGATAAAACTATTATGATTAATTCAGTCTGAGAGTGTCTTATGTGTTTGATTGTTATGTTGGTGTGTTGTGATGTGTAGTGAGAACATGTATTTTTGTATTGTAATGATTATAAGTATTGGGAGAACAGCTGAGGCTCTGTCGTAGCTAAAGGGGATCATAACCTCTAGAGTCCTGAGCTTTGGAAACCCAAGCTGTGCGGTCCTCATATGAGGACGCAGGGACTCTAGAGGTTAATAAACAAACAAAATTTGAGGAAAAATTCATTTTTGAACATTCACAATGATATAAGACTTGTTTTAACATTTTTCTGATGCTATATTTACTGTATTTGTGAATTCACCCTAATTCACAAAAGCCATAGGGCTGCCATGTGTGGTCCCTTAACCGACAGACATGGGCTTTGGCTCTCAGCCATTTGCCTTGAGTCCACCTTTACCAAGTCAGGAATAGCCCAAAGACTCTTACACATAAAACCATTAGGTAGAATCCGTTAGCCTCCTTTCCATTTTAAATCAAACTCTATTTTAACCCCAAGGTGGTTACATTTAAGATTAAAATCCTTTAAATACCCACTATTCCAGACTAGGTTCATTTTAAACCATTATCTTAAAGTTTCCAAACCTTGCAGATGAAGATTTTCAATAAATGCAAGGTCCTTGTTTGCACAAAGATTTATCTTGCTTGAAAAACACAGGCAGAAAAACATATTCAAGTGTTTCAAAATGTTATTGTAATAAATAGAATTCATTGTATGTACATTATCTGAAACAGATATCCACTGTACAAAGCCTCAACTGACATCTATACATTCAACACTGTTTGCAAGATAAACCCCTGAAAAGGGCCATGAACAGGTTTACAGTGAACAGGTGCATTACTAACAGTGGATGCCTCTCGGGTCCCAAGGCTCCTGAAGCACACTGTGATCTGATGCACTGAAACGCAGGCCTATTACAGTGTTACTGGTGTATTAAAACTGTGCTAACGAGAGCATAGAGCAGTACAACTCTGATCACATCCAACATTTGTGACCTGAGAAGCAACGGTTAACTATAACACTGGCTCTGGTGGTTTCAACATGACCCCAGATGGTCCCCTGCTCCTCTGAATTCACGTGACTTTGCTGGATTGAAATCAGCAGAACATCAAGGGGCATGCTTAGGCTACATTTTACCCACCAGCTTTTCCAATAATCCACTTGGATTATGTGTTGTTTATATCAACCCGGTGGCCAGACACTGCCACGCAAATTTCTGACAAAAATACAAGAACCCTTGGCCCCTAAAGATACCTGTAGTGCCCCATGTTCAGTCTCTCTGAATGCCACACTATGGCCTACTGTTCTATGTCTAGTGCAAATCTTCAACTCAACCGAATGCATTCGCAAATCCGAGAAAGATTAATACATTTAGCTATTTTTCAGCTCCTGAAGCCACAAAAAGCTTTTTGTCTCCCCTATGGCGCTGCTGGCTCCTGGCCATAGTGACGCTCCCGTGGGCAGCCTGGCAGGGTGTCCTGTCAGGGTGGGTTGTTAGTTCAGGACATATTGATGACCAAATATCCTAGAACCACAGCCACAGTGACGATGACAAAGAATATCACCACAGCGCAGATCGACGCAAAGCCAGCATCCCTGCTGCCTCCGCTCTCATGTTCTTTGGGCTCCTCTTCGCAGATGGAGATGACGCCCACGGAGGAATTTCCTACACTCATGCTGGACTTGAGCTCTGCTCCGGCCTCCTGCTTCGCCTCGACGGCCCACGGCGCCACCTGCACCTTCATCTCCATCTCCTCCATCATCTGGCTCACCTGGGAGATCTCGGCCTGCAGGTCCCCGAGGTCCACCGTGTCGATGTTGCTGTCCGCCTCGTACTTAATGTTCTGCACACTGATGGCCCGGGCCGCCACGGTGGTGGTGCTACCGGTCATCCCCGTCTGGATGAGGTGTCTCGTCGGCACCTTCAGGGGGAAATTCTGCCCTAACTCCAGGGACCGTTTCATGTCCACCTCCAGGAGCTCCATGCTGCTGGAGAACAGCACCCACAGGCGCTCGTACTCGGAGCGGTCCTCTTTGCTGATGGTCTTGTCTTTCAGCAGAGCGGTCAGTTTAGTCCTATTGGCCACTGCTAGCTCCTGGGCCTTTTTGCGGGTCCTCTTCAGTTCCTCTCGCAGGTTCTGTGAGTCCGAAGTGCTTCCCAGGGCGATGACCAGATGCCTATAGCAGGCGGTCACTTTGTTCAAAGCATCCAGCATTGTTTTACACTCCTCTTTCCCCATGACTGATCTATCTGTATCCTTTTTGAAATTTATGAAATAATAAACAAAAGAGCCTTGAAAAGAAATGGCGATCTGTGAGTAACGGTGTTTTAGACACTGTCCTTAGTTTAGTTTACACCCCCATCTCAAATCCCATCAATGCACCAGTCAGTGCAAATTCCTCTCTATCCATGCTCCTTCCTGCCTGCAAGCAGCCACAGAGAGCGGATTAGAAATTAATGCATCCGTAAATGGATTTAGGTTTCCACACTGGAGATCAAACAGCGCAGGAGCAGCGCTCCTGTAGGTTGAATACAAATGGATATGAAACAAATCCAACCTCCCTTTTTATGCAGATTGCACCCACATTCAGCTACAGGTGTCACAGCAGCCACCTCACTGCTGTGTGAGCCTAGAACAAGGTGCCGTGCTCGTCAGCAGCTTGAAAAACTCCGTAAACCTTCGAGGAGGATGCTGGCAAAATGAAGATCTTCATCCAGAGTTAAAAGGTTTCAAAGCGCCCATAACAGGAAGCCACAGGAGTCGCCGTGGTTTGGTTTGTTTATCTGTTAAGGAGGCTGTACACTTCAGCGCCCAGTGAACACATTTAAATACCAGAAAGCGCCTTCTGTGGTCACATGCGCGTACAAAACAGAGCCATTCGGCCACGGCAGGGACACAGAGCATCTCCGCCCCCACTGGTTTGTCCGCACACTGAACGCGTCCTGTGATTGGCTGCTCCGTGTCTAAAAGTGGGCAGGGCTATGATGTCCATCAGATTTAGATGTCAAATCACAAAGCCTGGCTCTATCTGCCACTATCTGCTATTTGTCATCAGGGTCCCTGCCGACGTTGACAGCTATATTTCGGCAGACGAAGCAATGGCAGATGACTGACAGCAGATTACTAGGTTGATGTGATTATAAGAAACGGGTGTGCAGAAGGACGCAGGATTAAAAGCAGTGCTATCAGTGCTCCTTTCTAATGACTACTTCTCATTTATTGTTTTCATTCGTCGTGCAGGAATGAAATGAACATAAGTGTGCATAAGTGACAAGTCACACACTTAATTCTTCTTCTTTTTTTAAATACGCCTTACAGTCAATTAGACACCCACCTGCCTGCGCACAGTTTGCAGGGAGGATGCCAGTTGTTACGCACAGTACTGGTCGGATAATATGTTGTTTACCCACTTGGCCCCTGCTGTGCTGAGAGGTGAGAGGCAGGCAAAGCAGTGTGCCGTTTGCCTGGTTTGCTCTTTGTGCATTATTGAAGCGGATGGGGCCTAATGATCCAGTGACTGCAGTGTAAAGCTAATGGACTAAAGCGCAGTTCATTGTTTGCTCTACATAAGATGGAAGCTACTCTGCCCTGATGGTTTATTTCTCCTCTTCTATTTATTTTTAGTTTGGAAAAAGCTTTATTTTTGCTCATATCATTCATCACTCACTGATGCATTATTGCCGGTGCAAAGATACAGTATGTAACTCTCATGTTCATTATAAGATGAATCTTACAGTAAGTGCCTCTGTTTATCTGAACTGCTGGTAGCCCTGCCAGTGATGTCTGACTAACACATATCTTGGTGAGTCAGATGTTTTGTTAAGATCTTGACAAATAGATGTTCTTTCCTTTGAATATGTTTCCATGGCAACCTCTCACCTCCTGGCAAGCACTCCTCAGCTATTTGTCCACAAGCTATTCAATTTCTGACAGTGCAGTAAGTTGTCAACAATCATTCGCATTGTCTCTGGTGTTGAATTTAATCTTACAGTGTAGCTGTCATCAATAAAGATGTTCATGAATATCAGTTGAACACTCATGTGGTTTAAAGGCTTGAGTGATCATTTCTAGTTTGTTTTACAGTAAAAATGGCTCTGTTGTGAAATTATATCATTTTGATACTATGGATTTCTGTGGAGGGCAGCATGGTGGGGCAGTGGTTAGCGTTAGCGCTGTCGCCTCACAGCAAGAAGGTTCTGAGTTTGAGCCCCGGCCGACCCGGGGCGTTTCTCTGTGGAGCATGTTCTACCTGTTCTCTCCGGTGCTCCGGCTTCCTCCCACAGCCCAAAGACATGCAGCTTAGGTTAACTGGTGACTCTAAATTGCCCGTAGGATTGTGTGTGGGCGTGTGTCTACATGTCAGCCCTGTGATAGACTGGCGACCTGTCCAGGGTCGACCCCACCTCTCACCCGGTGACAGCTGGCATTGGCTCCAGCCCCCCCATGACCCTCTTCAGGATAAGAGGTATAGATAATGGATGGGTGGATCTCTGTGGAACCTTTTTATTTTTAAATTGATTAACAGCTTTGTTGATCATCTTTCAATGCTACAATGTGATGCATTTCATCATAAAAAAGCTTCCTGAGTTCAGTTTCTTCAGAATCGAACATACATTGCGGTACCTTATTCCAATCTTAAATCAAAAATATGGATATCAGTACAAGTCCTTAAGATAAACAAACGAGATCTGTGACCTGCTGACAACTGCAAACATAAGATGTTATATCTCTTCAGTCTCAACTTTATTACCTTTACATGAAACTGCAGGCAATAAAAAGGAAAATTACATTACATAGTACAATTGACTGTGGTGTCTGTCCTATAATAAGACTGCTGATAAGCTGCTCTGTTAGATTCAAGTGTTAGGCTGAGTCAGACCTGCTGCACTGTGATTGCTCTCAGAGTGAACACATTATGGAAAACTCGATGTGATTTCCTGTGCAGAGCCTCTCTGTGGTTTGCTGTTACACTCAGAGGAGTAACAAGATAGGCTAAAATGCCAGATGTTATTATCTCTTGATGTAAAAAAGAAAAGACAAAACAATCCTGAAAAATGTTAGTAGTTTCTAAATGAAATCTGTGAAACTGCTGCTGATTCATTATGTATCATTTTGTATTTTTGTACTTGCAAATGCATCTTCAGGTTAGAGTGCTCTTTTCCACAATGAAGCATCAGGACATTTTGCCAGTGTTGTATCTTTATAGGAATTTTGTATCTTCATTCAGTACATTTATAGAGCTTTCTAGATCTACTGAGGTAAAAGTGTTAATAAAGATGAAACATTCATTTAAGGTTTTAATTTTGATGTCTGTGAGCAGGGTTATGATTGAGAGGCCACACAGGACTAAGCCTAAAGTTTGTTAAAACCAATATCAGTATTAATAACTTTTAACTTAAAATATTGATTATTTTATTCTTATTCATTGTTCTGTGTTTGTCTTATTTTGTGCTCTATACTGGATTATATTCTGCATTTTCACTATTGCGTTGTATTTTATGGCAGGATTTGATGTTTGTTTGTTGCTTGCTGCTGTAAAGTGTGTTGAGACACTCTGGTGTGAAACTGAGACTGTCCCTTCTATGGGACATTTGTACATGGGGCCAGAGTTGTTTGTGTTTACAGCATTTACCCAAACACTTCATCTGTTACACTTTTTAAAGCGTCGAGTTGAAGGAGCAGAGTTGACCTTTAACCTTCAATCCTGTGGCATCAAAATACTTTTTTTCAAAAAAACATAACCTGGATTTTAGTATATGATGTGAAATAAAACAAGTGACAGCATTTTTAAAAAGAATAAACTGTTCTAAAACATATAAAATTGTGACAACACCAAATTGGAATTAATATGAAAAATAAGGCAAAGTTTATATGTTCAGATGAAAAGATAAAAACTGTCTGGTTTAGTGGGGTGAGGCTAAAAATGATCCACAAACTCATCCTAATCCTGGTTAGCAGGTTCTTATAGGTCCTAAGATTATCAGTATAATACCCACTAATGTATCTTTAAATGGAAGCTGTCATTTCTCTCTTGGGCATTTCCATCATTTGGAATCAATGGAGCCTCCTGGCATTCATTACACTTCATGTAAGATAATGATCATAGGAGAGACAAAGCACAATAATGCTCTGATCAGACATATTAGAAAATGGATGAATAACCTTTGGCATCCTACTTGATAATCCCAGTAAACGTATGCTTTTCATAATAAGTTTGGGCCTTAACACTTGCAAAGAACTTGCCTGTGATCATCACACTTTACTCAAACAACACACACAGCAGTGATGCTTCTCTGACAACAGTAAATCCAAGCTTGATGCTCACTGATAGATTACTCAGACGTGTGGTCACCAGTGGTCACACAGAAGAAACATTCAGTGTGAAATGTGAAATAAAGCACTTTATGCTTTTAGCCAGATGGCTGCACCTAAGTTAAAACAGCAGCTTTTTAGCCACAGCACACTACTCGGAGTCTAAATCCAGTTCTACACCCAGTGCTCTGGAGAAGGTCAATGGCAGGACTGTTTTTAAAACCTAACATGCACATATTGTGGTGTGGAAGAACACTTTAGCACCACAAGAAACCGAGGGAGAACATAAAAACTTCTCTTTGAACCACCTCAGTCAGATTGAAAGAGGTGCAGGACCTTCTTCCTGAGAGGTACCACAGTAGTAACCACAAACTACTGAGCCACTGTGCTGTCAAAATGTCCTAAAGTCCTTTAGTAGTGTATTTGTCTCCTCCAAGTATGACATCTTACTTGGTGTTACACACATCTGAGGTAAAATGTACAGAACAGGATCAATACTCTGTGTAGCTCTAATCGTGTGATCACAAAAAGCTAATCTGATGTCTTGTTAGTAGTGTAGGAAAATCCCTTAAAATCCAAAAATTATGTAGGAGAGCCTCCGATTTAGATGGAGAAGCATGTTACAGGGTGTTTTAAGTGGCTTGTGGTGTTTAGCAGAAAGTGTGTTTGTGGAAGTATGAGTAAGATTCAGTCAGAAACAGCAGAGAGAGGGCGAGGGAGAGCCAGAGAAAGAGGAAGTTTGTCTTTGTTGAATTATTGATGGTCCTCATCCACTATGTGGTCTCTTACACAGCACAGCATGCACCTGTGGGTGAGTTGTGAGTCATGCCTTAACTGCATGAAGGTCCAGACTGATGAGGATCTCCACTCAACCTTGACGATCTCTCTCTCATACACACACACATCTCTTTGTTAGGACACACTGTCATAATGCATTGTGTAGCCTCTTACCATAGCTGAAACCTGATTCTAAAACCATCCTAACCTTCAAACATTCCTTTGAAGTTATGGGAGAAAGTGACGACCGGTCAAAATGTCCTCACTTCCATGGTCTAAATCTCAAACTGGTCCTTGTATGTACACACACACACACACACATAAACCTTCCTGAGTGCTGCATCACATTTTCCACAATCAATACTAAGTTTATATGAGGGCTTTTAAGACAAGCTTAGCTTTCCTTTTTATGGGGAGTCCAGAGAGGGGCATTTGTGTGTGTGTGTGTGTGTGTGTGTGTGTGTGAGAGAGAGAGAGATAGTGAAGGTGGAGCGAACTGAACTTGTGATTAAAAAGCCTCCCATCTGACATAAAGTTTCATTTATGATTCAAGGACCTCTGTTGTTACAACTGCATATTAAATGCTGCAGTAATATTTCTAAAAACCAGAATTCTTTGAGAAGTTTTGGTAATAGACTCATTTGACATTTTGGGAAGTGCACTCATATTAAATCTCTGACCACAGGTTAGATGAGAAGATCTTGTACCTGTGCATTAAATGTAAAGCAGTCAGTAGCCTGCACTTCTAAAGCTCCATACATAACATGTTTTGCTTACTTAATTAATGACACAAAAATTTTACTGCAGTAAAATAGTGCAGTAGTAAAACCCGCCTTTGCAATGGGATACAGTACTACTGTACTGGCTGCTAAACTGAGATGACCTGAAAGAATGTGTGACATCTGCTGGTCAAGGCTTAACTCTAATCTTATCACATCAACCTAAACGCTGGAGAACCTGATAGAGGTTTGGCATAAGTAAAAAGCAACATGTTTAAGGAATATCACCGGCACAGCAGGTTAAGATGCCTGTTATTTACTTTGCATGTTGCATGTTGCAGGTTTGTATCAGGCTCACATTTATCTTACATCGTTCACTTTTTGTCACCCATCTTTCTTGTCACTCTCCCCTTCATATTCTCCAGTAAAAGCATTTTGAAAAGACTGCAGTCTGCCCAGCTGGTCATTGTATGTGTGAAGGAGGCCCTTGTTTGTCTGCAGGCTGCTCTCACTAAAGCCTTAATGTAATCCACTGTGTGTGTCTCTTTCTGGAGGAACAAGAACATTGCAGTGAAAGGACAAAAGGAGTATTAAAAAGAGGTCTCTCACAGGGCATTCAGCTCTGCTTCAGCAGCACACTCTTTGAGCTTTGTACAGATGGTAAGGGGAAATACATTAGTGACCTTTAATGATCTTGAGCTATTGCATTTTTGTAGTGCTTATCCAGCCAAGCGTGTTGCACTGTGCACGCTGCAACCAAACGAGGGAGAGCTGTCGGCCTTGAGGACAAAAGGTCTTGGCTCTCATGTGCTTTAGTCTTGCAGTTTTAGAAAAGCCAACAGATTGCCCTTCTCAGAAAATCCCCTCTAAAAGGCTTCTACAATGGATTTGTGTGGGCAAAGTAAAGGTGGATACAGCAGATCTAAGCCTGTGCAAGGTTATAGGCCATCACGGCCTGGGTCTGTGTAAGGCGTTGATCCACTGTCAGTCTGAAGGAGGGCTCAGATGCAGACATGTCTCTTGGATGTTTACAGATAAATGGTTTCATGCAGGTCAAGTGTGTGAAATATAAATTAGCAGCAGAGGTGACAAGTAATTAAGTACATTTACTTTTTCTGGTACTTCATACTTTGACTTCACTTGATTTTAGAAGCAAAATTTTACTGCACTACGTTTATTTAATACATTTTGTTATAAGTTACTTCCAAAATCAGACTGACTTTACAAAATGTAGAGTCCTAAGACCCTTCTGATCATCTGTGGAAAAGTCACAAACTACCAGGCATTGATTGAAATTATAAGTGTACCTCTACCAACTGCAACATTAGTTGTGATGTACTCAATAGTGCATCAATAATTATAATCCAATAATATTATTATAAGTTAACTTGTGTCCTATTGGGAAATGTCCCTTTCTACATGATGACTACTTTTACTTCTTGTACTTTAAGTATATTTGCTAATGCTAATGCTTTTGTACTTTTTACTTAAGTAACATTTTGAATGCAGGACTTTTACTTGTAACAGAGTATTTTACACTGTGTGTACTTTTACTTCAGTAAACAATCTGAGTTCTTCTTCCACCACTGATTAGCAGAATTAAACCTTACAAAGAACCTGGTCATGTGATGTGGCTGTTGCATAGTACTACAGACTGTAACAGAATGTATGCTTGCAATCATCTTCATCCTCAATTTGAAGGGTTTTTTTCAAAGTGTTAATGATGGTTGACCTAACATATTCATGGAATTACCTAAAGGCTACCTCAATCAAATTAATAAAATATTATGTGTGATATTTATTCCACTGATTTGTAGGTAAATATTTTTAGATTAGCTAAATCATCATACATTTCACCAATGTGCAACTTTTTCCATTTGTTTTCTTCTTTCTCCTGAGTCTCTCACTCTCTCTTGATAAATAGATGCCAGGAAGAAACATTTAATTCCAGTTTTTCTTGAGATACTTTTCTTTAAGAATTAATAAAGACTTTTCTTCTTCTTCATAGGTGACCACACTCCATACTTTCTCAAGCACCTCTTGGCCTGAATGTGTGTCTTTGCATAGGCTACTGGGTGGAGCGAAGTGGTGCAGCAATGCAAGAATTTGCTTTTTTCTTTTTTGAAGTAATACTGTAATTTGACAGTTTGGGAAATACACATATTCACTTTTTTGTTGACTTAGAGCAAATCAATAACAGACAGCTTCATATTAAACAGACAAATATAACTGACTGATCTTCTCTCCTCCACCTTCTCTCTACAAGATAGCAAACACTTGCAAACATTTCAACCTATTGCTTTAAGAAAACACTAGTGTTTAAAGTGAATATTTCAGAGGTTTTTCAAAATAATTTCACTCATTACTTTAACACTCTAACTGCTTATATTGTTCCTTGACATCACACAGTGCACTGTTGTACAATATTTGTATATGTATGTTTGTGTATTTATATGTACCTTGTTTTTATTTTTTTAATGCTCATTCCTTTTTCTAGTTTGCACACTTTTCTTTTGTTCTCTCAGCCTTATGTTGTTTACTTGTGTACTCATTGCTTTAAAAAAAGAGGATTGTACATACACACTGAGAGCCACTGTACCAGAGTCAAATTCCTCGTGTGTCTAATGCACCTGGCCAATAAAGCTGATTCTGATTCTGATTCATCTAGCCCTAATGGAGAGGGGAAAAAAACTGTTCTGGAAATGGAACGGGCTTCAGTCCCCTGATTCAGCCTTTAAGCTGCTTTAGAGGATTGCTGGGTATTTTTCTCTGTCTCTTTTTAACACAGACAGCCGATATTGGCTCAGAACTTAAACAGGAGAGGGCAGAAGCCCTCAGCTGTCACATAGAGTGGGGAAGGAGCAAGCTTCTTTGTCTTGGCTTTATAATCCATTCTTGGGAGACACATGACAGCAGAGGCCACTGCCAGGAAGGCCCTGTGCTCCCTGTTGAGGAAATGTTACTACAACTGGGCATCTGTCCTCACTGGACTACAAGACACACTATTTAGGCCAAGCTAAATATTTCACTAAGTCAGACCATATGTTTTTCTTTAACTGCTAATCAGACAAATACCTGACTGAACCAGATGTGGTTTGAAAAGTATCCATACAGTTATTATATAACCTACCTGTGAAATAAATTAATGCAGATTCTGTTCACTGTGAAGGTTCACACAGTTCAAACTTTGAGAGTTTTATCATTGGTGTTTATACCATACAGACCATAATGAAAATGTTAAGTGAAGTGGAGGTGAATATACATGTAGACACTTTAGTGATGGTTAAACATAGATTTGAAAGTAGTCTGCAGAAATGTATAGCATGGGCATGGGCCCATGATGCAATTTTCTCAGAGATGTAGAGCTCCAGCAAAAAATTAATTTAATTCAATAACTTACAAATATATACAGTAATTACCAAAAAGGTATAGACTTAGAGTAGTAGTAGCAAAATAGAATAAAACATGCATTCATGCACACATACATACCTGCAATATATACATATTCTACATACATACAGTTGGAACAGTATGTAAAATCAAAATTTAAACTGAAAACAGTGATGGTTTGAATCCAGGTTGCGTCAGGAAGGGTATCCGGCATAAAATATGTGCCAAATGTCAATATGCAAGTCGTCAGTGTGACAATTTGCTGTGGCGACCCCTAAACGAGAAAAGCCGAAAGTGACTTTCTTAGTGATGTGTAAAAAATGTGTGTCCTGTTTTAAATCAAATCAAATTTTATTTGTATAGCGCCAAATCACAACAAAAGTAATCTCGGGACACTTAACAGAGTAAGGTCTAGACCTTACTGTTATCACTATTATTACAGAGGGAAAACCCAACAAATCCCCCTTGAGCAAGCACTTGGTGACAGTGGGGAGAAAGGTACAGGGAGAGAGAGAGGACACACTACGGGAGAGAGGACACACAAAATTAGTGATGTGTAATGGTGGCATATAGAAGCATAGGGAGAGAGGAAAGGAGAGGGGAGGAGAGGAGAGAAAGTCAGAGCATCATGGGGTCCCCCAGCAGCCTAGGCCTATAGCAGCATAACTAAGGGAAGGCTCAGGGTCACCTGATCCAGCCCTAACTATAAGCTTTATCAAAAAGGAAAGTTTTAAGTCTAATCTTAAGGTTAAGAACAATACAGCAGCACATTATTTGATGTGATAACTCATCAGTTTTATTGTCACGTCGTGCACTGTATTTAGCCAATAGCACCTGCAATTGGAGAACTGAGAATACCATCTTTGTTGGCGTAAATGTGTCACTCACCACTTGGTGGCGCTGTTTGATCAGATAATATTTCCCGGATATTCGCGAACGGAAACGGAGAAAGCCGAGGGAGACCCCGGAAGCTTCCTTATTACTGGTCACTGTCAGTCCGTTGAGCGATGTGTTGCTGGTGCTGTGGGGACGGCTACGTTGATGTTGGAGTTTCAGTCAAATTGGACATCAACATGCATTAAGAAGGCTTCCCCATCATAAGACATTGGGAATATTAAGGTTTGTAATTTATCCGTGATTCGGGATGCTCTGCTTTTGCATTCGTCGCTCGCACACGGTGTTAGCATGCTAGCTGTGTTAGCTTAGTGTCTTGTTAGCAAGCGAGATTTTCGAGCCAGTCCAGTTGTGTGTAAGGTATCAGGCTAGCAAGCTGCGGTGCCGGGTGTGTGTTTGTGTGTTGTTAGTGCTCCGTTTCAGTCACGACCTTTACAGTTATTATTGCGGTAGGGAGGAAAGCCCCGGGTCGATGCTTGCTGATGGTCACTATTAGCTTTAGTAATATCACACATTGTGCGGGTGGTATATCAGAAGGTCGTGATTGATTTACAGGCTAGTCGATGTGAAGAAGGGCTCTAAACTCAGTTACCTCTCGCCAACCGGTAGCCGAGTTGCTTCAGTTTGTGGTTTGTCTATTTAGTTAAGACAACGAGCAGGTTGGATTGGACAGTGTTAAGATTATAATCCTGTCCCACTATTAAAATTGTGACTGTGCAGTAATAAACAAGACGCGTATTTCTGCAGGTATTATCAAAGGACAGCCTGTGGTTTGGCTTGAGAACAGGGGAAGACCGTCACATTGAAGGACAACCCAGAGGTGGCCAGTGGTGTTTGTCAGTATATCTCCGTAATACCACTGGGTCGATGCCTCAGTCACACTGACGTTACCATAACACTGAACAGTCTTATTTTCTAAAACCTCAGAGCCAGTTCAGCAGAGAAAAATACACTGCAGGCTATTCAGACTTGCAGTGTCACCACATTGCTATGAATAGCCAGAAAGATGGGTGTGTTTCCTGGGAGTAAAGAGGGAGGACTTGCAAAATCCTGGGCACCACACAGCCTTATTCAGCTAGAAAGGAGGCAAGCCTTATGCTATACAAACTGTAGCAATGTGTCGTAACTGTTTATACACTACTATGTCAGTTTATTAGGTACGCCTGTATAACAGCAGTCCTGCAACAAATAATTTTTATGATGTTTACACTGTTCAGTTAACTTTATGCTTAATTTCTGTAGTTTGTGGTGTTGTTGAATTGTTCAAAATATTTGTTATAAGATTGCAGTACATTTAATTAAGTGTACCCAATGAATTGGAAACTGAGTGTATGTGTGTTAATACAAAGTTGTTGAGAGTAAACATATTTCTTTGTGCATCTGTGGCTTTTTCAGTGTCAGTCTACACATGCACTTCATCCTGAATGCTGGTCCAGGAGATACCCACCACAGCATGCTATTGTGAAGCGGAAACACATTAGGTAGGTTCAACATGCACTGGTTTTGTTTTTACATGGGTTTCAGAGCCCAGTGTGTATCAAAAGCAAACAGACAGAGCAACTAAGCTCATGCCATCTGTTTACCTCTTGTGCTGAAGCTGGAAGAGTGGCATCTCTCATTTTGGCTTTGGCTAACAAAACGGAGGCTCTGAGTAGGAAACGGACTGAACAGAGAGCATTTACATGGACCGTCGGAACCCAGTTAAATGTTTTGGTCTTTATTGCCTCCATTTTTTTCCTGCATGAGTGATTTGCGAATGGATTATTTGCACTTAATATAACGGTAGAAATGAAAGAACAAAATGTCTCAGTCTGCCATTAAGTACAGGAAATGAAAGACAAGCCTTCAAAGAGAAATGGAAGAATTTGAGTGTGGACAGAGTGTTTGTAATTAAATAAATGAATATCAAATGTGATAAATTCTTACTTCAGTTGTTTATTTAGAGTTTTGAGCGAGATAACACAGCCTTCTGGTTTGTGGTGTGGATGCTGTCAGTTGAATGTTTTTACAGAATAAACTATATCAAGTAACAGGTCACATATTGATTTTGTTTGTACTATTGTTGGCTGATAGATTTCTGTGTGTTGTATCAATATTTCCATCCAAGAACACTTTTATTTTTGGTTGTTATTGTTTGCAGGAAGAATGAAATAATGTTGGCCATTAGGCAGTTTGGCATTGAAACATAAAATCACTCAGTAAATCGAAACCCATTTCTTGCAGGAATATTTGAGGCTTTATCTGTTGGTTTATTTTACCTTCCCTGAGTGCATACACCAGCTCGGGTGTGGACTTAGTTTGTGATGATTGCACAGTGATGTGAGCGGGATGACACGGGGGTGACTGGTGCTTGTGCGTCGGAGAAATAATGAGAGTGAGTTGTGCCCTCTGAGGGAGAAGGGGAGGGCGCTGGACGTGCAGCTGATGTCACATTAATGGACCTCCCTTTTACTGACCACAGAAAAATCAATATGCCTTAAACTGGCCAGGAGCATTCTTAAGGACGATGCTAATTTATTTAGTTTAACAGAAAATTAGCGTTCAGCGTTGGCGATGTTTAGTAATTGAATAAACTTGTTGAAACAGAGGCACTGTCAGCTACTCTACAGCCTCTACAAATAGAATTGCACTTTTCAGGTCCCATTTTTCTTCACATTACTATAATAATTCTTGGCATTTTATTTAATCCTCATGTTTCTTCCTCACAGATTGGACCTGGCTGCTCTGATTAATTACATCTAAGTGAATCTTAGAGGCAGGTTAATAATTTTCTGAGCTTTTGAAGCTTTCAGGTCCTGATCCAGCTTGTCTTCTGTAGGCAGTTTATTTGCGAGGTGATGCTCTTAACTGCAGTCTCAGTCACAGTGATGTGTAAAATAATGTTTTCCACCAGCCTCCTGTCCACCCTTGATATTTTTGATACAGAAAAATACATTTTAAAGGCAATGCAGCTGGACTTGCGTCATTCAGTGACACATACTTTTGTGTTTCCAGTGTTTTAATGGTGTTCTTAGTGGCTAGTGTAGGTGGAACAAACACACAAAGAAAGGACCAGAAAAATATCAGGTTATAAAGGGCCAGTGCTGATTCACTACGACATGCCTGGGACAATGGAGAATGGATCAGCTGCTTCTGCACAGAATATGGTTCATATTAACAACAGAGCATAGCATTATGGCAGATAAAATTTACTAGCACACCACAGATCAGGGATTTTTTAAAAGATGATTACAAGGGGGATGTGGTCGTTCCATTCTTTCAAGAATAGCTGTGACTCAGAATTCTGTGTCCATACAGCTGTTTCCAGTTACAGACCTCTAGTCAAGTGGAGCTATGCTGTGAGTGTCACCAAAGTCTATGGCTGCTTCCCAAGTCTCTTATATGGGTCCACGTTTCCCTCACTTACATTGTTTCCTCGCATTTTAGTGCCACCCACCTAAGATGCAAGGAGAGAGGAATCAAACACATTTTTAGAGACATGAGACATCCTTTTTTTAAATGGGTGTGTCCATCCATGAATCCTTACACCAAGGATGCTGTCTTGTGTCCTCACTAATGGCTCTGGGGTTTAGTAATGAGTAAACGGTGTTTGGCTGCTGAGGGGTAACAGCCTGATAAACAGGACTCTTCAGTGCAACGTTGTTCTTTCAGCTGTGTCACTGTACTTGGTTGTCAAACACCATGCCATCACAGCCAGTCACAAGTAGGAGATTTAACAAGTTTGTGTTTTTCTTGCATGAGAGATGACAGACCACAAAGGTTAGAGAGAAAGCTTAATACTGCCATGTCAATACATTCTCTATTTAGCATCAGCCTTCAGTTCAATATGTAGTGCAGTCTGTACAGTTAATGATACGTCCTGCCTTCTCAGTCGGAGGGTCTGAGTCTGTCCTAAGAGCTTAATGAGCAAATACACATCTACACACTAAATTAAGTGTAAACATAACATGTTTCACTGTATTAAAGTGGCAACTGATTTCAGTGGCAAAGATAACATTTAAAAACACACCCTTCAGTTGTGCCATGAGCTCCTTTTTATACCAACCAAATCTGGTGTTTTTTGGAACTGCCTTGTTTTGTTGGCTTACTTTGTCTCCGTGAGTCACAGTGAAGCCTGCCGGCAGCACATAACTGGGTCTACAGATTATTATTAGCCAGTATTTTTCATGCACATGTGCCTCAGCTGGAGGATCAGTTTCCTAAAGGGACCAAAGCAGCCATTGATTTATCCTGAAGCTGCGGACATGGTCTCTGGGGCACGTCCTGAATGTTCTCCTGTGACCTTGACATGAATGCAGAAGACAAAACCTCCAGCGACTCTTGTAATCACTGCTGCATGACTCAAAGGGGCATGAGGTTGAAGAGCTGAGCCCAAGGTTGAGCCACCCTTCCTCATACTTTTTCTTTGCCCCACTAGTGACCAGGCAACATAAGGATAAAGTCCTGTATACTGTTCCTGTTTCTGTTTTCCTTTTAGCTGTATATATCTTGTTTGTTTTTTTTTTTGTTTTTTTTGTTCAGTAGGGGAGATGGAGACCATAGTCCTATATTCAGTCATGCTTCACATATTTCTCTTTTCCCTAGGTCAGGATGCAGTCTTCAAACCACCGACTGCGAGATATGGAGCAGCACCACCCTCTGCTGTCGGCAGGTGCAGATGTGGAGACAGGGAGTCTGGCAGCTGGAGTGATGGTCGGGGGTCCCCACGCCGGCCACACAGCAGGAAACCGCACACTGTGGTTCATTCAGGACAGCTGCGGTATGGTGTGTGCAACCATGACCTGGTTCCTGGTACTGTACGCTGAATTTGTGGTGAACTTTGTCATGCTGCTGCCTGCCAAGAACTTCTGGTACTCACTGCTGAACGGGGCCACCTTCAACTCCTTGGCTGTGCTTGCACTGGCCTCGCATCTGCGCACCATGTTGACTGACCCGGTAAGGATGTCAAAGAGGGTAAAGCTGAGGATACAGGTTTGAAGAAGAATGTGTTTGTAGCGAAGAAGAGGTAGAGAAAACAAGAATAAAGTTAGTGATGAAGACAAAGCTTTGGTTTTCACAAAAGAAATGCCACTGTACAATTAAAGAGTGCCCTAAATATGTAGGTCCTCAAAAATTGATTCTGAATTAGTGGTGGTGAATTGTTTAAGGAATCATCTTACTTGAATACCGTTTTGTTATTATGCAAATTGAATAGAGCTGGGCTCAGAAGCCATGTTGCCATGTTCAGACTGAGTTTCAAAGGTGTGAAAAAAGCACAGCTGTCTCCATTCATTCCTATGGGGGATTGCGGTCACCGTAGCTGGCACCAGCACTGCAGGGGGCTCTGGCAAAGTGACGCAACCCTGTGCGGTGGAAAAGTTGGATCTGGTTCAACTTTCAACGCACCAGGCGGTGACATCATCTGGCAAAGGCGCTGCCCCCCCCCCCCCCCCCGCAACCCTTCACTCTCGACCAATGCAGCCCCTTGCTTTACACATAGAACGGAATTGCGTTTTTACCAGATCAGTTGGAATGCCTGCTAAATCCCAGTTCCCTTAAGTGCATCAGTGTTTCTCTCACTTGCGTCTTTTCCTTGTGACTTAGTCCCACCTACAAAAGATGCAAAGAAAAAAATGTGAGGAAAGATGAGTTCAGAGAATTGGGATTTACCTCCTTTTTTACAGCTCAGGCAGGAGGCACTGCCATGGTGAGACACTTGTAGTGACTGATGTGATCTGGGACACGGAATCTGTTAACAGTACTAATGAGTTGCAGACAAATATTCCCATTAAATTAAAGCCCCAGGAGAAAAACAAGGAACTTGGTGATTATTTTCCACCACATCTGTACAACTGTGAATGTTCCTGAGCCTTTTGTTTAGGGCCATGCTTAGTGGGCATCTGAATTTATTTTTAATCAGACAGTTTAATGGAAAATAAAACTTTTTTTTCCTCAAAAGTTCAATTGTTTTGATGCGGTTTCTTCACCCTTTTTAGCTTCCTTGTATGATATGAAGCCTTGTGACATGTCCAAGCAATCGATCATTTGGTTCCTTTTTCTATAGAAGTGTGTGAAAAGTCAGTCAAAAGTGGGCACCACAGGGAATTTTCTGCACTTTGTTACTGACATGTTGTGACTAGTCTTAATGAATTCACCCAATTCATGCTACAAACGGTTGTAGGTCAAGTACTGTTAGTGCTGCTGCAACACTGACTCATGCTTACTCAGAGAAACAGTATGTTTGATGACAGCTCCATTGATGCTTTATAACCCAACAGCCCATCATTAACAACTGCTCTATTTCAAAGCCCAAAACAGTCCACAGAGCGATGTGCAGTAGTGAGTCAAACTGGGGTTTAAATCTGTTTGTGCATCCCTTTAAGTGCTAGTTAGTTACACTGGTGATGCACTCATGTAACGGCCATAGTGTAAAACATAAACCCTGCATCGTGTGAAGAAATAACCAGCATCAGTGTTTCCTAAAGATACAGTTAAAATCCAGTATCCAGTGCTACTTCATTCCCATAGACCAGCAGTTATTGGAACAGTATGTACACGTAGTGGGTGTCTGTTTCACAAGCTGAGAAATGTGAAAACACTTGTTAAATTGCTGTAATTTCAAAGACTTAGTCACTTCTCTAAAACCATAGTATCAGGCATTTATTCGAACCTTTGAAACTGACAGCATTTGTCTTTGTGTGTCTTAGGGTGCAGTTCCTAAGGGCAACGCGACCAAGGAGTACATGGAGAGCTTGCAGCTGAAGCCTGGTGAGGTCATCTACAAGTGCCCAAAGTGCTGCAGCATCAAGCCTGAGAGGGCACACCACTGCAGGTCAGTGAAACGGCTGTGGCCACTGACACAGAATCGAATTGTGAAATGCTCCTTTATACCGCCTGGTGTTTTTAAAGTCATCTCTATCCACACCCTGTGTATAAACTGGGATGGTTGATGAGATTAGCATTAGCAGTCAGTCACTGTGTCATGCAGTAACATCCTCTCTCTGCCTGCAGTATTTGTAAAAGATGCATCCGGAAAATGGATCACCACTGTCCCTGGGTCAATAACTGTGTGGGAGAGAAGAATCAGAGATTTTTTGTTCTTTTCACTGTAAGTAAACAAGTACACTGAGCAACTCATGAGTAGTGCTGCTGGGATTAGACGTGCACATTTTACAGAAGCAAGGCGGCTTTATTTATGTAGCACATTTCATACACAGAGGCAATGCAAAGTGCTTTACATAGGCAAAGAGAAACATTAAAAGTATTAATACAATAAATATTAAAATCAGTGAAGACAAAATAAGGACATTGTTTTTAACATTATTAAAGGAAAAAGGTCAGAAACAAACTATAGAGCAGTTACAATGCTGTGATAAGTTGTAACATGTCCTGAATGCAACACAGGAAACAAAAGTGTAGCAGAACAAAGACACAGGAAAACAACAGAGTTTTCAGTTGAGATTTGAAAGTGGCAGAGTTGGGGCACATTGAAAGTCATCAGGAAGTTGGTTCCATCTATGTTCAGCTAAAAGCAGCTTCACCCTGTTTGGTCCTGACACAATGTTCTTACCAGCTGATTGCTTCCTGAGGATCTCAGAGCCCTGCTGGGTTTGTATTCTTCAAGATCAGAAATGTATTTTGGCACCATATTATTGAGTGATTTATAAACTAGCTGAAGCACTATAACATCTGTTCTGTAGGTGACTGGTGGCCAGGATTTAAGAACAGGAGTAATGTGCTCAGTTCTCCTGGTTCTTGTTAAAACTCTGGCAGCAGTGTTCTGAATGAGCTGAAGTGGTCTGACAGTCTTTTTTGGAAGACCAGACAAAAGACTGACAATAATCCAGCCTGCTGGAGATAAAGGCCTGAATGAGTTTCGCTAAATCGTGTCTGGACACGAGAGCTCTAAGTCTTGCTGCTTGCTTGAGATGATATAAAGCTCATTTAGTTTTGGCCTTGATGTGATTGGTGAATCTCAGGTCTGAGTCAGTTATGACACCAAAAGAGTTTTTGTCTTTATAGCTCTAGAATCAAGCTGAGAAATAACTTTCATTCTTCCCATCTTTTATGCTTTTATTTATAAAAAACTTCCCAAGTCGTCCCACTTGCTTGTGTTTTATGATGAAGTAACAAGCTGAGGTTCACAGTTCTGCAGTGATGTAGTGCATAGCAGACACAGGCCCACATAAAATGTACTCTCATCACCATTTGTGACTCCCTTCACTTTTTTATGTGTTTTATGGCTTCATATACTGAAACATAAAGCTGCCATGTATGGCTGAGCAGTACAAGGTCATCTGTGAGATAACATTTAGTTTGCTCTCCTCTCAGTTTCCCATAGACAGAGGTGTAAATAAACTGCGAGTTAAAAGGTGTTAAAGTTTGAATGTAGGCTTACATAGCTACAGTGCCTATAAAAGGTTTGCACCCTCCTGGATATTGACAGTAGTATTGTACATGCAAACCAACCTGGTGAGATGAGAGTGGAATGGTTCCAACTTTTTGCCTTTTTCTGACCACCTCCCCTTTTCTGTTCTTCTCACACAGATGTACATAGCCCTGATTTCCGCCCATGCCCTGGGTCTCAGTGGTATGCACTTCTTCACCTGTATTAAAGTCCAGTGGAACGGTAAGGCTTCTCTGTCTTACAGCATTGACTATAGGTTTGAGTAAAAAAAAATGCATGCCCACAATGTGGTAGAGACGTGGTTTGAGTCAAAGGTACTAGTACAGTATTTATATTTATACAGGGGATTGAAACTGCTTAGTGGGCTGGAGAGAGAGCAGGGCAGCACAGCATAGTATCACAGAACTGTCACTGATCCTCTCCTGCTCACTTCTGGGTCTCTGTGTCCGAATGAACCAGAAACATTAAGAGAGTATTTCATTTTTAGAGCTCCAGCTCCTGCTCTCCTCTGGCTTAGCAAGGAAACCTTCCACCAGTTTGTGTTCCATATGAATTGGTGTTCCAGGCTACTATGGCAGGTGCTAAATGGCACGCCACCTCTTTTGTGTATAGATTTACTTTTCCAGCGAGTTAGGATCAGGTAACAGTTTTGGGTGGGATGCATTAGAGTCACTGTGTCTGCAGACAACCTTGTCAGTGTCACGTTTTTTTTTCTACAGTCTTTAGTTTTTTTTTTATTATTATTACTTGTGGACATTTTGAACATTATTATATAATATTAAATATGTGGGCATTTAAAATTATAAGTGGAGTGCAGAGTGTAGCAAACAGACGATGCATTTTTTTTAATTTATTATTTACTAATATTTTTATAATTCATTAATGTTACATGTTCACTTAGGTTCAGCAAATTTGTCTCATTTCTTCTTATTAAATTGTTGTATTCTATCTGATGCAAAAATCAAAACTTCCCAGCATGATATCGGCCGTTGAAAGCCCACATCGGTCAACCACTACTAGCTTATTAGCTCACACAGCTTCATTTTCCGGCAACATTACAGTAGGGTCTTTGTTGGCCAACTTTGCATTTTGACTTCAAAGGGAAGACTACGCCACAAGTCCTCTTCAAAATGCATTTACTGTAGTTGGTGTTTGACTTGTCATTTCACTTGTTCAGTGCGGAATAAAAACTCGGGCTTTTCTTCTTGTCTTCCTGGGAACAGAGTGCAGTGACTTCTCTCCAGGGGTGTCGGTGCTGCTCCTGATCTTCCTCTGTCTTGAGGCAATCCTCTTCCTCACTTTCACAGCTGTAATGTTTGGCACACAGATCCACTCTATCTGCAACGATGAGACGGTCAGTATCCATTGTACTCCACCAGCTTTGATTGTCTCAACAAGTTGTGTGTGAACACTGGGAATATTAGTCTTAATAAAAATCTATGGATTTTCAAGTTTACATGTGTAATCAGTTCAATTTAGTGCTGTCTATGATATCATCAGGTTTCCTGTTTGAATCTAGCTGTGTGTCATTCTAATGGGCCAAAGCAAATGTATAACTTAATGAGGAATCTTTCATTTACAGACGGGTTTGAATGTCTTTCAGGAGATTGAACGGCTTAAAAATGAGAAGCCTACATGGGAGCGTCGCGTGAGGTGGGATGGAATGAAAGCTGTGTGTGGGGGCCCACCCTCTGTGCTGTGGTGCAATCCATTCACAGGCCTGCGTCTGCGGCGGCTGTTGCTGTTGACTTACGGTCGCCGCGGCGGGTCTGAGTTTTCTGTCTGAGAGCTGAACAGACTGGTGCAGCTCACCAACACTTGATCCTCTTTAAAACGAGATTTCTTGTATCCCCTCCTTGGCTGTGGATAAGATGGACATCTGCTCCCTGAGCCTGTTTTTATGTGTGGGTGACAGGGAGACCAGCTGGTCCAGGGACCCCAGTGCATCACAACCACCACTGAAAGTGTATACCCTCTCTCTCTTCTCCCTCTCATGCAGCTGTAGACCAACACCTATGGTCTGCACAGGTATGCTGAACAACCAGAATATTGTTTTTAACATCAGCAGCTCTGCGGTTTGTTTGTGTGTATTAGGTAAAGCATGCAGTATGTAACTCAAGTGAGTCTTACATTCCTCATGAGACAATTCACGGTGCTGTTTGAACTCCTGCACCTTCAGTACACAACTTCGGCTGCTGGTTTTCTCTGCTGTGCACTTAAGATTCAAGATTAGTGCTTGAATCTTTTCAGGGGGCAACATATTTTTTATCATCGCTGGACCCAGACAAGGAAGTCAGTCAAGGACATGCACTATTTAAATGGCACTTGAGAAAAAGCCTGGATATGGAGTACAGCGGGCATCAGAGATGGACCTGCACTGCTTTGATTTGCATGTATAACAGCTGAATTAGTCAGTATCTCAGCCAGAAAATAAGGCTTTCTCTATCTTCAAATGGATGAACAGGCTACTGAGAACACAAGCCTCATTCTTATTCGAGAGGACTGAGTGGCTTTTGCTGTCTGTTATCCTCCTCTGTCATGTTTTTCCTTCCTTGAGCCTGTGTGGTTGATTCTTTAGGTTACTCAGGCCAGTAGAGATGACTTTATTGCTTCTTTAACTTTGATCACACTGACCACTCCTCAACAGTTGACTGTAATGACTCACTGGAGATGACTACTGTTATTAAGAGTTTTCATTTGGATCTAAAAACAAAACTATCAGTTTTGTATTGGTTGTATATACAGTATGTGTCATTCCTAGCTGCTGCTCCACCCCCCTTGTGTTTTCATTCAGGTTGACCAACACTGGCTGCTGAAAAAACAGAATGTTAAGTTTTCACTTGTTTTACTCACACACAGTTTTTCTCTGTGTGTAGTAGGAATAAGGATAAGGATAATCCTTATCCACACGAAGAAAAGCTAGCTAAGGCTTCATGGCATTTAAACCCCAAAAAACAACCTCACAAAATCCCCACGACGGAGCCAAGCCTTAGACATGGGGCCTTTGCTTGCTCCTTGGCCACTGTGCCATGCAACGGTTTGAAAAGGAGAACTGTAAACACTAGCACGGCCTCCTCTGGCTTATGGTGAGCTCATTCTCATCTACAGAGCCAAGCTCCATTATGCAGCCAGCCTGTAGAATAAGAAAGGAGCCGCTTTGCTGGAGGAGGCTGAGGTACCAGCCTCAAGCTTTAATGGTGAACAAAGTCTCGGGGAGTTGTGCAGATGTGTGAGGCCTTTCCTGCCTCACTTCAGAAATGTCAAGCCTGTCATATCCAGGGGCAGGACAGTAGCAGGAGCTTTCCCAGTGTTATTAGAACACATCCAATCAAGTGAATTTATCGGCTTGAAAGATCGTCATTATTGCCATATTTATGGAAAGGTTTTCTCATGTTGTGACAATTCTGCATAATCAAGAATGTGGCTTTATGAATTAAGTGCTCAGGATTTAAAGCCCTGACTGATGGACTGGCGTTATCAAAGTCTGAGTTTTATCATATTTAACAGTATACTGCAGTTTGTTCTCATCTGTGATTGTCAGGGGAATGAACACTTCTGTTTACACTAAACCATCATATCTGACACTATGGTTACAGCGTTTTAAGAAACATGCTGTCATTAGAATGTAAAAATGTATCTATTTAGGAACTAAGCAACACAGCACTGAAAGCTAACTGATAATCGGAGGGTTTTATTCAAGCTGGCCTGTCATCTTATTCTCCTGGACCGCATTAACTCAGCAACAGTTTGCTGGTCACCGATTCATACGGTGTCTTACCTTCTGTGTCCAGCATGGTTTATCCTGACACGCTGTGTACTTTTTAATTAACTAGTATTAAAATGAAAATACATTGAGCCAAACAGACAGAATGTCCATAAAAATGATATGAACATTTGTAAGTGAAAGACAGATTGTGTAAGAGTTTTCAGGACATAGCTGGTAATTACATGCTGGATGGTTGCACAAATATTGTACTAATCAATCAAGAGCTGTTATTATATGTAGCTGCAGGTATTAGTGGCAAAATTATAACAAGGCAAACACAGAATGCCACTGGTAAACAAGTGAATGTGTGAAGCAGGACTCACAGAATGCAATAGTTTCACTTGTATTTGCAGCAGAATGTCAGCTAAGTTTGGACTGACAAGTATTGTGTTGAAATATAAATAGCTGAGGTTGACAGGTATAATTTGGGCAGAATTATTTGATGTGCATAATTATTTCACAATAGTAAAGCACTGTTTTTTATCTAAACTCAGATGCTGTAATCATAACATCTTTAAACTGCGACTCTGACAGGGTGTGTAGTATTACATTCAGGTTCAGCAACAGAATCGAAGAATGATGGTTTATTTTTAAAGCGTTATACCAGTAGTTGTATTTTCAGCCCTTCTCCACTTTCCTGCTGTACAACCTAGAAGAAAATGAATGAATCACATTGGTGGAGAGAACTGTATGATGATGGCCGGAATTGTGTAAAGATGAGAAAGGTCTGGCTTTGTGCTCTCCTGAGGTAATGTTACTTCAAGAACAAAGGTGTTTCAGCTTTGTAAACAAAATATAAAGGTTACTATTAACAGTATATAAATGGAATGTTGTATTCAGGTTTTTTAAATTAATGTGTCATAATCTTCTAATGTCATCTTTAATGTCATTCTTTTACATAATAAAGTTGATTAAATTAAAGGTATAAATTGTGATTCTCTTCTGCTGGGTTTTGTTTCTGGTGTTATATCTTACATTTGACATGCTGCAAAACTGGAGAGAAAAAATAAGTCTGAACAAATGTCGGTTAAGACTAGAGAGGCTTTGGCACATTAGTTTCACTTTTCTTGAAAGGGGTATCAGATGCACTAGACATTAACTGAAATTGGGGAACTGGAAACGAATAGCTGCAGCATCACAGATGAAGATGAAAGTAAAGAAGATGTGGAACATTTTATGACCTAAATGTGATGGCAGGAACCCTGCCAGGCAAATTGGTAACAAACTGTTTAAAATTCCTAGTGTATCAGTATGGGCATGGTTTTCAAATATAAACTCAATGACCAAAATCAGCATCCTTCCCTCGATCAGTTGGCAATGGTAAGTGAACAAAACTAAACGCTTTTCAGAAATGTGTAATGATATAAAGTAAGGTAAACATAATCACAAATGGGAAATACATAACCAAAGCCCATGGACTTACAAAACCTTTGCAAAGAAATCAGATTTTCTTTTTTACGACACTACACTGTGGACACTCCCTGCAGACGACAGAGGGCAGTGAGGTCTGACAAGGTCAGAAAAAAAAGATTCAGTTAAGGTTTAACTGAATGAGAACTGATGAAGCCTCTTGGATGAGAGGTGAAACGTCTTCGACCTACAAATCTAAGCCCAGTTGATTTTTTCTAAGTTTTTTCAGTTTACTATGACCTGGATGACTGAGAATCTGCACAGACAATTAAGGTTTAAGGTATTTTAAGCCCTGGTGTTAGACTCTCAGGCATTACGATTTCCAAAGTTTCGTGCCTTTCATCCGGATTGCCAAATCCTCATCCTCTGATCGTACTTAAACGTGTTATTCATATTTATTCAATGTTTTTGATTCTGCTCCACAGATGAGATTAAACACTGTCTGAAAAGCAAAAAAAAAATAACGGGAAATTAAACCCCAAGGTTTTTTTTTTTTTTTTTTTTTTTTGCTGCAGCCCACCATCACCAAGGAAACGTTAAGGCCCGCCCTTGTCGCTTCCGGTTTTGTGAAGATGGCGGCAAACACATTTGTCAACAACTTCCAAGTAGAAACTGTAATTAATCGTTGGGTGGTGGACTATTATACGTTTCGAGCACTGGAGTTCTTTCAAAATGAGCAAGACAAAGACTTCAATAGGATTATAAGTATACTGGAGCGTAAGTCTGTTTCCCAGTTTTTCGCCTAGCCACACTTTGTTTTTAGCTAGTTAGCTAACGTTAGCTAGCTCATTATGTCCGACGACCCGTTTTATTTACTGTTTTGAATCGTACTTCACGGTCGTCACCGACAGTATTGGTTATTCTGAGTTGTTAACTGTTAAACTGACAGGGGATAGTTAAACAATAAACCACTGTGCTATAATTAATGTTAATACCGGGTATATACATTTCATATCTGTCAGCTGTAAGAGCTGTTCTGATAATAAAATCCTGAACAGAAAATATGTGACGATTTCCCTCCAGACCTTGCCAAAATAAATCATTTGAAATGAAGACAGCAGTGTGTAGAGTGTGAATAATTTACTTATTAAACGTGTATCTTTAGGATAAGTGACACGTTGACTTGTTGCAGGTGTCTTGGACTGCGATCGTTTGGAGAACACTGATAACATTGCACCGAAGTTTCTAGTACTGCAGTTTCTCTGCCGGATACATGAGGGTGAGAGATTAGGTGAGACAATGCGTTCATCATTTCACGTCAATTACTTGATTCTCTAATGGTAGCGTTGTTTAAAGTGCCTTTAGATTTTGCGCTACTATTTATTAACTTTATATTTCACTTATGTTGTTTGGCATTCAGTGTGGACGGCAATGTAAGAAATTCACTGTGCAGGGAAACACATTTCCTTACTGGGCATATGACAAGAAACACTTTGAACCTTTGACCCTTATGGGTAGTGTCAGCTATTTAATTTAGCTGCATCTATGTGTATACATTTACAAATGTGCAGAGTACAGATATTAAGATGAGCCCAATGGCAAAATGCAAAAATGTAATGTTTACTTTTTACTCTACTGATAAATAAAATAACATGTTAAAACTGGTATTTAAGTGTTTACATAATGGACAGCTAGATTCATAGTTTTGCAGTAGTGTCACAGTTAGTATGAATAAAAAGTGTATGACAATATTTATTTTTGATTGATGTGCTTGACCTGTGTACGGTAAGTTATTTGTCATAAAAAGACCAGACTCACAAAAATCAGTAGTAGCTTAGTGCACCCACCACAGCTCTGCATTAGCCATATTATGTTATGTTGAAAGATGTGGTACAGTAGCTTGTATTGTTACAGGTCTAAAAACTAATACAAGGAATTTTTGTAAATCATAAGCTCAATTTTACTAGCACATTATAGCACTAAAGGGAATATTGCTTTGTCTTTGCCTGCAGACCAGACATTTGAGCCTGACCCTGAGCAGTCTGAAACACCTCTGGAATCAGCATTAAGGGTGCTAGAAATAATGAGCAAGGATAGCAGTCTTCCAAAGCAGGATTTTGAGAATGTATCTGCCTCAATTAAAGATATGGTAAGGTTTTAAATTGTATTTATGCTATGCACTTGTTTAATTCTTACATCCACTTACACAAACTTATACAAATGCCCTTCTTTGTTGAATCAAAAACTGCAGTTTGTTAAGAGCGCTGCCGCCATCCTGTGTGGGTGTGGACCCATGTTCCTACCTTTGTCTAGCCAAGGAAGAATTCCTGAGCACACTCCAGCTAGTTGGTTTTCACCAGGCCTAATCAGACTTGATTTAACTTTTTTTTTTTCTGTTTTTAGATGGTGAAGGTTTTAATCAAGAACAGTGAATTTGAAAGAGCAAAAGAGGTGCTTAAGAAACACTTCCCCAAATCCATGGTTGGCAAGGTGGGTTCACTAACTAAAACATTATGTTCATCATTTCAGTCATTCTAATCATCATTTAACTTGCTTTCACTTAGTAAATGCATTCACATTGAATCCTGACATATACTGAATGTGTTAAAATGATGCATGTTACAATATAGTCGAGGGTCATACAGGGAGGTCATAGTCAATGGTAGTGTTGCACTGGACTGCATTATATTCAGAGGTGTATGTTTTTGTTCTCTGCATTTACGCATTGTACATGAGGGGTCAGAATGGACACCCCTGAATATAATTTTGATATTTCATTGCACTTTGAAGCTGATTTGTCTACAGTAAAGTTGGCTGGTTTTCTGTCATGCTAAAATGTATTCTATAGTGTACAATGTCAGACCTATGAGCATTAATGCATGAATCTTTTCAGTTCGTCTGTACAGCCCATTAATATATTGCCTTCATTTTTATATTAATAATTGTCATATGTTTCACATCACTGAACTTCTGCGTTCTCTGTAGAAAGCCATATTAATGGGACTCATCAGCCAGAAGAATAAAATGCATGAAGTCATCAAGCAGATTGACTTCCACAGGTTCAAGCAGGAGATGTTCGCCTTTTGCCAGACGCTCTGCCCATTCAATAACCCCTTTCTCTACAATGTACGTTTGCTATATATTAATCAAACAATAACGGCGTATTGTTTTTTTTTTTTTACCTTTTTTTATGTTGATATGGTAATGATGAGCTGAATATTTAAAAACACGGGTTAGAGATATCATTGTCCTTTGAGGCTGATTTGAATAGCACAAAATTTTCTGATTACAGCAGGTTTTTAGAAGCATGTTCAATTGTTAACCTGTCACGAGTTCTCTAAGGCTATGAAAACATTCATATAAGTTGAGTACTAAAGCCTGATTACCTTGATATTTGTTCAGCCAATCAACTGATGCTGTTAAATGCTTAGCTTTAGACTTATTTTGTACTTCTGGTTTGTATGTTTGTATCAGGCTGCAAAATATGCTATTGATAAGAGACTTGCAGAGCAAGGTGATGAAGCTGTGGGACCCGGACCTCACGAACTGGATGAAACTGGCCAGTCCTCTAATCCGCAAATGAACACCGTCCCGGTTATACAGCGGTAGGCTCTCTCTCCCTTCACACAACCTCTTCATTGCTGTTAAAATACAAAATTTGCCAAAGCAGTATGGTCTCTGTTATGCCACATCTGATGACTCACTATCTGTCACGTCACTGGGCTGCATCACAGCAGTGGTAAAGAGCCACTTTACCATTAGAAGACCTAAAATATCTATTGCATTTTGTGTTTCCAGATCTCTGCTGTGCACCAGATGGTTCAACACAAATCTGATAGCATCGTTCTTTATTTTTAGTAGGAACATCTCAGAGGGAGGGCCAAAGCATGGCTGACATCACAATGTCAAAATCATTCACTCCTGTAGCTTCCATTACTGGGAAAGATTAAAGGAAATAATGAGGCACTCCCCAGTGTGCATTCATATTCCCCAGATAGCCATCAACGATAACCGGTGTGTTGAATGTTTATAACTCCGTTCTCAGCTGAGATCGCGTTGCAACACGTGTTTATACAATATAGCCCTTTTCACACGAGATACTATGTAACATTGCTGTCTTCATCAGTCTACTAAAGTGATTGCTTTGTGTCATTCAGACACGGCACTTTTAGGGCCCTCAGAGGCTTCGTTCAGACATACCCACGACAGTGAACAAAAAAAGCGCACGGGGTCTGTGTACACAGAGTAACACTAAAAGAAGACAATAGAGAAATATTTACTCTTAGGGTAGTGCCACCAAAATCACTTCATGTATCCAAAAGATCAAATATTTGGGTCCAGCCCTACATATAAGCGTGTGTTATTACTTGGCTGACCTTATCTAAATACAGTATTCAGATGCACGGTCAGGGTAGCGTTTTATGGCTCCAGATTACAATGTTTCAAGTAGATTGTTACATGAATCTTTTGCTAATGTTCTGATATGTTGACTGGATACCCATCTGATTCTCTGGCCTAAATACCCTGTTCACATGCTTTTTTTTTTCTTGTTTCTATCTTATCTTCCAGTAATCCTGCAGTTATCTCTAGACCCAGACTGAAGGCAGTCTACGAGGCCTTGGCTCTATATTTAAATGAGAGATCATTTGCTCAGTTGGTGGAAGAAGTGGAGAGAGAGGTGGAGGAAGAAAATGGTTCTTCCCTGCGTCTTTCACCTGCTCCTAAGAAGGGCACCAATGGTGACCATTTCAGGGATAAAGGGCTATTTCAGAGAGACCCTGGCAGCCCCATGGAGGCTTCCCCAGCAGACCAGCCACCACAAACAGTTGCTGTTACTCAAGCACAGGCAGATAAACTCTCTAAGAAACCCTCCATGTGGAAGGAAAGTGGGCCTTACACCATAGACCGTCTGGTGTGCGGGCCAGACAGCCAGTTGAGCACAACAGCTACTCAGAACCTGCAGATGGAAGTCAGAACAGAAGAACCAGCACAGTCACCAGCTAAATCCAACCAAAAAGACGCACAGTGCCCACTAACGGACCATGAGGTTACCAGATCCACACAGGACCTTCCCAAACGAACCAGCAAAAACTCCTGCAGGTATAAAAGAGAGCAAGAAAAACTTCACCAACTACCTTTTGGCTTTCTGTGGAGGTCACTTTTTGATGTGGTCCCAGAATACTTCTGACTCATTTGTGTATAAAGTTAGGGAATGCCTGATGCAGCAAATGACAGAATACCATTACAGATATTTTTTTACATGTGTTGCTCAGTGGTCTTTAATTTCACATATTTAAAAAAAAAGGGATGTTAAATGATACAACTACTTGATAGAGTAAAGTAGTTCTCAAATAACTAGTATTTTAAAGGGAATTAATTAATATTTTGGACTAATATTAGGACTTTGCAGTGAGAAGTTCTCCATGTTGTAAACTCACTTCAAGTTGAAGTAGTTTAAGGTGTCACTGTTCATTATGGGATATAGAAGGAAGGTTTTTTTATCTTTACAGGTGCACACTACAATTACATGATCATGAATTTGACAAAGAGCAAAGCACCATTTCAATCAAAACAGATTTCTCATTTTGTGGCTAATGCTCAACTTAACGGTCTTCATGCAGAGCCTCCATCACAATCATAGAGTCATCAGACAGTGAGAAGGAAGCACACAGGTCCAGCTCCTCTTTCAAAATCCCAGTGCAGAACCCTTGTAACAAGCAAGCCATCGTTCTCCTCCACAAGCAAGTCCAAACACAGTTACATTCATTATCAGTTTCATTTGTTATTCAAAGATTAACAACACAACATTGCTTGTACTCATCCAGGGTTTCAGGTACTACAAACAACATCACAGATTCTTCATCAGACAGCGAGTCCACTCTGCATTTTTCTGACCCTGTCCCTCACACGAGCTCCACGCCTCACAAGGACCTTACTCGAGACAAAGGTCGTCCCCTTTCCAAATGGTAAGTGATTACTCAGCAGCTTTAGCTAAAAATGTTTGACTCACGTGCTGTGAATCCTAGCGTACCATTCAAAAAATAAAACATTTAAAACAAACCATGAAATATCATCATTTTGCTTCATGCAAATTTTCAAATTCACAGTTTGACAAACATTTTTCAGTTTTCTTCCGTGTCTTCATGTGGAAGTATATACAAGTCACACGGAAGTTACAAATATTGACTTACCTATTTCAATTTATTTAGTGGAAAGAGATGGGCTAATTTTAAAAAGGTTTTATACTAGCTTCACTGCAGACCACCCAAACACAGACCGTAATTCCACCCAGCATATTTCAGTAACGGCTTTTAAATTATTTAAGACACAGTCATTTTTGTTTGTTTTTCCTCAGCTGTTTATCAGTTACCGCTCTTGTTCACAGGCGAAAACTATGGAATGAAGCAAAGGAGAGTAAGGAAACCTGGAGCGACGATGAGTTATCGGTCACCTCCAGAGAGAACAGTAATATTTCTTCAAATATCAGCTTCTTCTTAATTTGGTCTAAATACAATTGTGACAGCCTTGTTCATGTGGTAATATACTTTGGTTTTCCCAAAGGATCGAACGAGAGCACCATTTCAAACTCGGGCCACAGGAGGAGGGTAAGCATAACAAGACTACTGTTTTTAATAGGGCTACACAATAAATCATTTTGTGGGTGTGATTTAGATCCCTGTGTGATCTCAGTCTCACGCGACAGTGATTCTGCTGTTTGCATTAGCAGGGAGATGGCTTGCATTAAACCAAGTGCTTCCCTTTCCCCTGCTAAGCTGCATTAGAAATTAAGTCTGTACTTAAGTTAGTTTGGTTGCTTTTTTGTATTCATATAAAGTTGCTGCTTTGTAACAAGCCTGCAACTTTCAGCAACATAAGCGCCCATCTGAGTTTTGTGTCAGTGACAAAGACGAGGCATTGTCTGTTTTGGACTTGTACGTCACAGCAGCAAATAGCTGAATAACCAGTAACCATGTTCCTGTTGTGTTGCAGAAATGGACTGCGACAGAAACACAGAAGTTGAAAGATGGGGTGAACAGATTTGGAGAAGGCAACTGGAGTAAGATCAAGTCTTATTACAACTTCAAAGATCGAACCAACATCAACCTGAAGGACAGATGGAGAACATTAAAGAATTCTAAATTAGTCTGAGAGTTTCAAGAGAACACTATACTATGGAGAGTTTTCCCACGTTCACGTTTATTTAGTTCTTAAATGTATTGTATTATTTTCTAAAGTGGGTTATTTTTGTTGGTGTATCACTAATAGTCTTTAATTTAATCATGTTTAAAGGTGTTTCATCCAGTAAATGTTCAGAGTTTAAGTTGAAAATGTGTCTTTTTGTTATAACTGTGATGCTGTCTCATGCATTTTCACTGGAGCCCTATAAGTAGTAGCAAGATGACAAATACAAAGACATTGTGGGTTTATTTGAAAGATGGCCTTTAGACAACGAACACAAAAGCAGTTCCTCCTTTCAGCAAAATGTGACTCAAAGCCAGTGTGAAGGGAGAATCATATGAAGCTCTGTGTGAAGGGAATCCTGTACATGGCAGATAAGCAGTATCCCAGTCAATGCAGAGGTCAGTCCCTTGACTGGAAATATGGGCCAGTTGTAACATCTGCTACAAAAGGCACTTGGATTAACCATTTAACCAGCTGCTCTCTGAATTTGAGTGAATGTTGTGGGTATAAAAGGGGTAAAAAGGGAATTTGGTATTTCAGCTGTCAATGCATCTTTATGTTAATGTGTCTTCATTCCTAATGAACTCTCCCACATCAGCCTGGTGGAACACTACAATGGACATGGGGTCCACTCGCCGGCACTCCTGTGTAGACTTGGCAGCAACTCCAAAACCCTGAGAAATAAGAGAGCCGATTCAGAAACTTAGGTCCATTTGGCAGTCTGATCCAAAGAGAACCTAATATTATCCAACAATGTGTGATATCCACAACTTGAGTACGGATGGATGGATGTATTCAACTGTTGGAAGAAGCCCACACCATAGCACTTCTGCCATGGCAGTGCAGATGGGTGCACTTATGTAAATCATGCTGATCATTCCACATGCTTAATATTTTGAGCAGGAATATAAACCTGTATCATACTGACTGCTGTGCCCATCCATGTCAACAACTCAGCATCAGAGCTACAAAACTTACTAGGGGCACGTCAGCCATGGAGTAGACCACGACTCCCTGGTACTGCATGGTGTTCTCAGTGATTCTCCCAAGCCCAGATTTTAGCACATGGTTCCCATAGAGGAATGACTGCTCGGCACCAGGTTTAACCCAGACCTTGAACTGAAGATGAGACAGAAAGCTTTAGATTATTCATATATGTGTGAGTATATCATAATTAACATAGTTATTAGCAGAGATTAAATGTTCGAACAACAGGAAAACAACAATGGAAAGTTATGTGAACATCCATTTCCCTGTAAATTCACAACACAGAGCTTTATAACTGATGGCAGGCACCCAGTTTGACAAAGACATACAGTGGTTCATAAGGTATTCAGGCCCCTCTTTGTGTTGGAAATTTAATTTTAAAGTAAAACTATATAACTTTTTTCTTTTTTTGTTTACAAATTTTTAAAAAATCAAGTATTCGGAGCCTTAACTCGGCACTCTGTTGAAGCCCTTTGGCCCAGACTGAGTGGGAAATATCTGTGAGCTGTCATCTACAGGTATCTCCACAGAAGTTCTGTGGGGCTTAGGCTTGGATACAGTCAAGAGAGCTCTCTGGAAGCCACTCCAGTGTTGTCTTGGCTATGTGCTTCAGGTCAGTGTTATGCTGAAAGATGAACCATCGCCCCAGTCTCAGTTCTCTGAGCTATAGAGCAGGTTTTTATCAAGGACCTCTCTGTATTTGGCTGCATTCATCCTTCCCTTAGTTCTGACCAGACTCCCTGTCTCTACTGCTGAGACCCCCTATCCCATAGCATGATGCTGCCCCCACCTTCTTTCACTGTAGGGATGGTATTACCAGGTGATGAGCAGTGCCTGGAGTTCACCAAACATAATGCTTGGCGTTCTGTCCAGAGAGTTTGTCACATCAGAGCAGATAATCTTTTCTCCTTTCTTTCCTTCTCAGAGCCCTTTAAAGACTGTTTGACAAACTCCAGGCAGCCCTCATCTGACATCGCTTCAAACTGCAGGTCTGCTGAAAAGTTCGTGACATTTATTAAATATCTATATTGCCTCCCTCCCTCCCTCTCCTTATTGCATATCTACTGGCAGGCGCTCAGGAGAGAGGACAGGATGCAAATGATGGAAACAAACAAAGAATATAAATGAGATGCACCACAGTCACCTTTGCATAGGGCGCTAGGAAATCCAGAGCCGTGATGTGCAGCCGGAACTTCTTGGTCTTGGTGAACTTTCCAAAACATGTTCCCACTGACACTAGCTTGTCCCGGGAAATGTTTGTAGCCAACTTAAGGATTTTCTCACTATGAACAGAAAGCGGCGATACAGGAATCAACGTGGATAAACTGCCAGATAAAGTATTTATGTTAATGTACCGTGGATTACCTTATGTAGTAGACACGGTCGTTGTGTAGTCTGAAACAGTAAGTACCGTCCGGTCGGTCCACTAAAATTCTGATGTTTTCACCGATGCTGTTGTGGATGAAGAAAGACACGGATCACACATGCTAGCAAGCATGCTACAATTTCTGGTGTAATTTCTATCTTAATTGGAAAATATTATGTCCTCCGAGTTCACTTACTATTTGGACACCTTCTCAAACATAATCTTCGTCTCTTCGTCGGTTAACGGTCTCATCTTGAGTATTTCAAAAACCCTTGTTTTTGGTGAGGATATGACCAGTTAGAAACATGAAAACGTGGGTCAACACGGAAGTCGTCACATTTCAAACGGAAGTCTGTTGACGTAAGCGATGAGCGTAGTTCCTGGGTTTTTTTTTGCATTCTTTAGCTTTCAGTCGAGCCATCCGCTTTTACTCTGGTAAACCGGTCGCTGTCTGGTAAGTTTATTCACATAATATTAGGATAACTCACGGAAAAGGATTTTACTATATAGCTGTTGAACAGTTAAGTGAACGTTCATTTATTTTTGTTCAACATTAAAGTCACACTTTCGAAAACGGGTTCAGTTAATGTTAGCCTGCTTAGCTAGCTGTCAGTAGAAAAAAAACACGGACCTGCTGCTAGTAGCGAGCTAGTAAACGTTAGCCTGCGAACTAATTATGCCAGCAGATGATAATGCTAATGTTGGTTTGCTGCAGGCTACGAAACCAGTTCAGTGTAAATTAGTCCGGAACCTCTGGGACGTCATCGGTAACTGAATTGAACTGTACCCAGCTGTGATTTTAGCTGGGACTCGCCGAGTAAGGAGTCTTTCCCACGGCGGTGCCCAGTTACATAACGTCAGTCTGTTTATAGATACCGATTGCGTTTGTGTAATTCGAGATCAAATGCAGAGTAAATCAACAATGAACACTCCTGCTGTCCTTGGCAGCCACGTAATAGGATTCACATGTGTTCAGTGCACAGTAATAGTCCAGTGTCAGCACTGTGTGCAGCCAGCTACAGAGCCACAGTTACTAGTTTGTCAGAAGTCCTTCTGTCTGACAGCAGTAGTGGCTGAAAAATGCCTGACCCCGTTTCTTATGATGCTGCCAAGTAAAATTACGCACAGGCTTAAAATGATCTTGTCATAGATGTTAAATCGTACTTAAGAATTTTGAAATGAGTCAAACATATTCAACCGCAATGTCTTTGGCACTTGGAAGCTAAATGCAAGAGCTAAAAGTGGACTTAAATTTCAGTGAATCCCCTGTCCTTGATTACAGCATTTCTCCTGTTGTACAATTGTGCATCTTTCCAGTACCCTGTGCTCCTAAAAAAAATGTTTAACTCATGCAGTCCTGGATTTGTAGTGGTCTTGAAACAAAATGTTATGTAGTGGCAGCAGTGAGATTTTTGTCACACTGTGATTTTGTCAAATGATGGCTCACATTTTCGGTTCCTGTTGGTAAAAGATGCATGTTGATTGTTTCAGCTGTGGGGAGATATAAATTAAAAACGGTGCCTTAACATCGGCATGATGAAATGTCTTAGTGGCCACCACGTTGGAAACAAATACTCAGTGGTTTACTAGGAGACATGAACCACAAAACACAAATTGAAAAATAGTGATCACTGGAAAACCTGTCTGAATCCCATATTGAAACTCTGACCCAGTTTCTCTAATAATGTCACCTACAGACTTGTACAGCATCACGGAACATATAAATATTAGCGTTTCTGCAACATATTTTAGATTTGACATTTTAGCCTTTAATGCACTTAAATATGAGGAAGTCAAAGCACCAGAAATATACATAGCATAGGTTTGTGTGTTAATTTTGATGAAGGTAGCATGACAGAAACCAAATCTTTCACACGGTTGTATATGCATTTATACAGAGGGAAATAGTACACAAATAGAAATATACAGTAATAGTATTTTTCATGAGAAGAACTGTGTGTACATCATTTCTGCTACAGACGTAGGTTTAACCCCATTAGTTATGGAACCACAAGCTGCTAGTCCAAATCTATGATTGTTGGTCAGGACACATTCTAGATAACCCTGAATAATTTGACAAAACATGTCCACACATGACTGAGATATTCTTAAACTTTGATGTGTTGACAGGAGTGTGCTGCCCTGTGTTTGGAGACCAGTTCTCGTGCCAATAGTTCACCCCAGAGAAACCAGTGGTGTGTGTTTCCTGTGTGTGTGTGTGTGTATGTGTGTGTGTGTGCGCGCAGCTCTGGTAACACTGAACAGGAAGACAGACGCAGAGCAACGTCTGGAGTGAGAGAGGAAACTGCTGTGGGTTCCGCATCGGCCTCAGAATGACTGAGTTCTGGGTTTGTTTCAGCTGCTGCATTGCAGAGCAGCCACAGCCTGTGAGTATGAGATTAAACTAGAAGACAAACTGGTTTACTTTGTTTTCAATGTAGCTGCCTTGCTTAAAGTGGAAATGGCACTTGTTTCAGGTGCAAAGGTGGGTAATAACCAGAGCTGGCTCAAAAATCTTAATTTTACTGAAGCTGTGACAATATTTAATCACTGGAATCTGACAACAATTATATTCAGTAAGGACTATTACTGTGACAGGAAACAGCCACCTGTTGTGCCTCCCAGTAATCAGCCAGTGTGTTAACATACATTCTCAATTATCTGGCAAAAATGTTATTCCCTGCAGTGTTTTAATGCAAAGGGCTGCGTTGCTTGATGGGTGAGGGGTTGTAGGAGTGTACGATGTTGGGACAAGTCCATGCGAGTGGTTTCATTCATGTTTACAACCCATGAGCTTCTGTTGTATTTTGGTTAGCTGTGCCGCTAATGTAGCCTACTCTACCTTAGCACCAATTTTTACCACCAGTGTTTCAGCATTGATAGATAAAAACACAGTTTAACATCCAGTACTAATGAAAGCACATGGCATGTCGTTATAGTGCATTAACTGTGGCCCAAATTTGACTGTGAGTAACAGCGAATGCTCATGCTAACAAGGTAAACAAAAGTCTACTTCTCGTGGGCGTTAATGTTCCGACCATCCCCTGTACGTAATTGGTCAATGCAGCGCCTTTGCCAGATGATGTCATCGCCCTGTCCGGCAAAAGTGGAACCAGATCCAACATTTTCATCGCATGGGGCTGCGTCGTTTTGTCAGAGCAAAATGAACAAAAACCCCCATAGAAATGAATGGAGAGAGCTGCATTTGTTCACACCTTTGAAACTCAGTCTGAACACAGCCTTATCAACATATAAGATAGCAGACATGATGAATGTCATGGTTTTCCTCACTCACAGCTCCACTGCTTATGAAACAACATTTCAGAAATTAAACAAGAGACATATGAGAAGGCTCATTCAGCTGCTGTTGGCCTGATCAGACATCATCACCGAGGAATATTTCCTTAAATATTGTTGGAATAATGCTACTAGTCATCTTTAGGTTTTAAAAAGGATTGATTGTGGTACTTGTTTTCAGAAGCGGCGGCGACGGATTGATCGATCCATGATCGGCGAGCCAACAAACTTTGTTCACACCACACATGTAGGCTCTGGCGACATGGGCCTGGGTTTGGCAGCGGTATGGTTTGATCCTCTTTTCTGAACATTCAGTATCTATCCAACAGAGTGTGCTTAGCTACAAGTTTTCAGTTCATGATCGTTTACACCTTGGTGTCTGTAGGTGGACCTTGTTCAGGCCCAGATGAAGTCTAAAGGGGGCTACACACACGGAGGGTCTGAAGGTTCGCAGTTGTAACAAGGTGAGAGATGCTGTTTCATCCCTGTGTGGAGCTGATATTGACCAGGGAATTATCACTACCTCAGCTGTACAAGCCCTGCATATACTTTCTTATGCAAACAGGTGATTGTGGTGGGTAAAAGGTAGTTACTGGCTGTACACGTATATGCAAAAATACTCTTTGAAACATTTAATAGAGCAGGGCAGCAGTCTTGTCGTGTTTAACTGCTTCTTTTCCACAGGGAGTGCAGCCAGTAGTTCCCTTCTTTCCCAAGCTGTAATGCAGGTCACGCAGCTGTTTAGATAACAAATCATACCTGAAATATAATGGAGGCTTGTTGAAATTCAATCCTTTGCCCTGTAGCTTCAACACATTATTGGAGAGAAAGAACACAAGTCTTGAAATTTGAGGACCAGCTTCAGTTAACAAGTTGACTCCACCAGTGTGGTGTCATGACAGATGATGGAAAATCATGCTGCCATACAATAGCAAGTTTGTCTTGTGTGGCTGTGACAGGAACACATACAATACATGTTTGTAGTTCTCTATATAGCCATACTTAATTAGGGGAATTCATTGCTCTGTGAAGGAATGCGTGTCCTGCTCCCTCCTGGTTAGCTTGGTGCTTTCCTAACCACTTCCAGTTTTCTCTGCAACAGTGACTCAGTGAACTTAGCAATTGTTGCTGTTTTTATAGTTTTTCATTTTTTTTGAAAGTTTGATTTTGTGTATTGCAGCTGCGGTCTGAGTCTAGCAGCAGCGTGGCTTTCTGCTGGTCTCACATGACTGGTTAACCGATAACACCGCAGCTTGCCTTGAATGTTGCCACAAACACTTTCACATTTTAATTCCAGATCCAGTTATTCTACAAATAACAGATTTAGCCAAACAATACCAAAGATTCTGCAAACAAAACAACACAAATAAAAATCACTAAGTTAATTTCTTGACAAACTGTGATCACTCAGGCTCAGATTTGATGGCACAACTGATTTAGGGTTTGCTACCTATCAGGAGTGTTTGCGATCCTAATGTTTGTTCTCCTCCTTTCCCTCCGCAGCCCTCTTGTGGAAACTACTGTTGTTGATATGAGGAATCCTTTTTAAAAAGCAGTTCTGTCTATAATGGATGCAGGACCAAAAGATGAAACTACTGCTTTTTCATAATGTTGTGTATATATTTTTATTTTCCATTCTTTCTTTTTTTTATGAAAGCACTGCTATCATTTGCTGCCATACTGTTGCACTGTAAAGATTAACTGCTAGAAGTCGGTAAAGGGGGTTTAGAAAGCTCATAAATGTCAGTGAGACGGATGCTTGTGTGCGTGTATGAGGACGATATTTTCCATTGTAGCCCATTTGGATGCCTATATTTATTATCTGATGTGTAAACGGACCTCATGGTGGCTGGGCCACGCTGGAGATTTGGAACATTCAGCTTCCGTCTTTACTCTCAGAGGTTTATCAGAGGACAGGTAGCAGATAACAAGGCAAAATGCGATGTCTTCACTGTTCATTCTCTGAGTTACTTTCAGGGTTGAAGATCGCTGTTTTGTAATAAACTTGAAATGTGTCGAGTACACTGGACCACTCACACTTGCTTAGGAATTTGGCATTGAGTTCAGCTTTTTTTTTTTTTTTTAATATACTCATTTAGATTAAATCATAGAATTTTAATAAACTATGACGTTCATAATCTGCCTTGTGAAGTCATGTTCATTTGTTTTACTAGTGTAGTTTGTACCAAGCTTACTGGTTTCTAGAGACTCATTATCTTCTTTTCAAAGGATGTGCACCAACTGTAGATTAAGAATCAGTTTGGACAAAGCCGGGTTGCCACTGCGCACACCGCCACAGGTGTGGGTTAGGCTTGCAACACTTAGTTTACCTTTTACCATCACATCCTTTCTGGTTCATTGCATCTGCTTTTCTTTGCCAGGACAGTTTGTGTTACATTCTGTCTTGTCACAGTGTCTTGGACATTAAATAATTTTTTTAAGTTATTTTTCGGCAGAGATGATTTTGTCCTCGGAGGTCTCAGTAGTTTTGTGCTTCTTCGAAAATCCAAACACAAACATGGTACCCAGTCCATTCAGCCTAATTGGACCCACTTTAGCAGCAGTGTTAAGAGATGTTTTCATGTGATGCCAACATAATTTTGTCTAAAATGTTTATTATGACAAAGTGTTAAACCTCCTTCTCACCCACTACTGACATTCAGTTGAGTTATTTCTACCTGTTTATTGTAGCTGGGATAAATAAATGCAGCTATTATTGCCTGATTGTTGTGGTTGTCAGTTATGTTAGTGATCAGACTGGAGTTAAAATCCCTCTTTATATCCTGGCAGGTGCCATTTCTCATCCCTCAGTACTGTAATCCACATGTCTGAACCAGGCTCTTTTGAAAATATAAATGACAAAGGTCAGAGGCCTGGATCTGTTAATGTATGTGATTGTTTGTCCTCCATGTTCATCTTGTGATTCTGCCACAGAATGTGAAGTTAATCAAAGGTCTATGAAGATTAGTGTGAAACAGTTTATGATACACAATGGATTATTGGCTGTTGGTACCAGGCAACATAAAATACTGGATAGAAGAAGCCTCACAGACATAGCCACATTATTTAGTCTAAAGCTGCTGATAGCCACTCTCCCAACATTTATTCACAGATTTAACAATGTGATTCATCAGGCTGAGACACTGTCACAGAGAGCTGATGTTAAGTGTTTCTGTAGTCATTCCTGTGTGAAGAAACATCCACGTATGTGTAGCCCACTTAGTTTTCCCAGGTCCTGGCTAAATGCTGTGGCATGTGCAGACATGCTGGGGCTGCAGTACGTTATGTGACCAACAGGCTAGTGCTCGTGGACTTGTTGAATGTGACTTTAAAAATGTTTCCTCCGGGGATTCCTGTCACAGGACTTGTTATTATGATGATGCTGTAAATGTGTAACATAAAATGAATGGATCCATGGTTTATATGTATTCAGGGTCATACATATTTTTGGTTACTTTTCTGTATACCATTGCAGGGAAGGTAGAGGCAGAGCAGCATTGTTTTTCTCAGGATCTGCTGATATGTAGTTCCCACTTTAAGGGAATGTTATCTGCCTTTTTCCTGCATTTTCAGAATAAACAATGCAAAATAAAAGTCATTGTTGATGTTTGAACAAGTGTGTGTGTGTGCTCCATGTTTTCACTTCAGCAAAAAGTCGTGAGGTGAGAAAGGAGGACTGAGCTCACTGTGCATGATCAGTTTTAATGCTAAAAATACAACAGGTGTCCTGAAAATAATCAGTGGTGGAGGAAGAGCACAGATGAAGACAAACTAAAACGTCCTGCATTCAAAGTCCTGTTTAAAAAAAAAAAGCACTTTAAATACCAAAAGTACTCATTCTGCAGAAAAATGTCCCCTGTGACTGATATCAGATTGTTAATACTGTTGTATCTGTAGCTGATTTAAGGAGATGCAGCCAGATAGTTTAGCCCAGTGTTTCCCAACTTTGGGATCAGACACCCTCACAGGGCCACTAGGTAGATCTGGGGGGTCAGACATCTGAAATGTGACAAGAGCCCAGCTGATTGGCTATTTAAGGGCGAACAAGCCAGAAAATTGAATTCACCGCTTTGATTTTAACAGTCTCTTCGTGGTTTTATTAAATATTTTAACCCAGAAAATAGACTAATAAGAAACTGTCAGATATACAGAATGTACCAGAGTAAATAGCAAAGTATTCCTCACTGAAATGTTGTAAAACAGAATTAGAGCACCATTAAATAGAAATACTCAAAAGTGTCAGAATGTACTTATTTGCACCACTGTAAATAACTGCATTGCGATTCTTGATGTAGGATTAACTACATATCAAAAGTCAGACCGTTTGTCATTAGACATTTAGCAGGAAAAGCGCTGTGTAATAAAAGGCTGCATTACATTCAGGTGTGTCAGGTTGTTTGGTATTGTTGATGCACTAGAGCCACAGTTGGTGCTGTTTGTACTTGTGCTTCTACTGCTATGACACATCAAAATGTCTGCCATGACGACGACCTGGAAAGTACAGTCACAGATAACTAGTTATAGAGTGTATATGAAATGAAATGCCCTCATATGCTATACAACATGTTAACCCCACTGCCAGCAGCCTTTAAGAGCAATGTTTTTGTTCATGAGATCGCGTCATTGTGTTTTCATTAAGCATTATGTGTGTTTCTTTTCAGTTTCCAGGTGTGTCTAACCACCTACTTCCAGCAAATGATATTTTATCTAATTACTTATTTTCTGCTGCAGTGAGTTGAGTGATGCGTTACATTCACTGACGCTTGAACAGAACAAGGAAGAAGTTTTTAAAATGTCAACAAACAATAAAAGCACTTTACAGGTCATCTTTTTATCCATTCTCTGTATGGAGCCACCTTCAGTCCATCCAAAGTATTGAGGTAATATGAGGTTTTTGTCAGGACAAATAAACTGTTAGTCCGGTATTGAACACTCCATGTTCCCCTAGTTGTGTTGTCAATTATCATACATGATGTAGATAGAAATCTGAGAGCAAAACCCAAACATTTAAGACAAAACTGACTTTGAAACAATTATTAATTAGTAACATTTGCAAAAACTTGTCAGTCGACCTGTAGGGTATATATAGCCTATAAAAAAACAAAGCTACATTTTTTAAAATGCTAAATTACTTTGGAAAAAATACAAAAATCAAAAAAATGCACCATCTATGGCTCAAAAAATTGAAATGTACAGAAGTATTTAAAAGTATCTAAAGGAGTTACTTTTAAAAACAAAGCTAATGGCACAAAGGCGTAGGAAGCTCATACAAACAAAAACTACATATACTGTATATTAGAAACTTAATTCAGCTTCCTTATGATAGCAAAGCATAGGAGTTTTGACCTCCACTCACAAACACGAGCCTACTAGCAGCGAGCGCCACACGTGCAGCCTCAATGTTGTCATTTACTGTACAGCGGCTAAACATCCAGTGAAACTCAAAGAAATAACAGAGCAAGAAATGATCCTGCACTGAAGTGAAATGAGATCTGTTTACTCTCCGAGCTGTGGTGTGAGCTTGGAGTCGCTTCAGTGAGTCTGATGCACTGGACCACAGTGAACCCAAGTGATGACAGAGGAAAAAGCTTGGCTTGGAACAGGATCTTCATCGCAGCATGCTCAGCAGAGAGGTTTGACCCTACTGACAGAGCAGTATTCTCTGCTGCAGTGGTCAAGTCGGCTAGAAAGCAGACGTGGCGAACAAAGAACCAGATGACTGTACACAGCTACAACATCAGTGTTTGCTGATGTGTGGACCAGTCGGAGAGCTCCTTGATGTAGTTTGGACCAAACAGATCACTGTAGCTTTCTGTGTGCAGAGAGTACGGAGTCTCATCACCAGCACCTGCAGAGCCGAAACAAACATCCGTCTTTAATCACACATGATTATTTGCCCACACATCTAATCTGTCTTTTGCAGCCTGGTCAGCTAAAAAAAAGATATATGAAAGATATATTATAACTGATATATTATTTATAGCATATATAAAACTTCTAGGAATAAAAAGACTAAGAAGTCAGTGGTTGTCAGTGACACACAAACGTCACATATACAAATAAATACAGTACGTAGCATCCCACAGTGCCAGTGGTCCCACAGTGTGTGTGTTCTCCAGCCTCTCTGTTCCCCAGTCTGGTTCCACAGGTCAGTGTTGCTTAAGTGGTCCATCAACTGTGGCAGACAGAGCAGGGCAAACCGCACGATGATCAGTCAGAAAAACAAAAGCCATTGCATTTAGTCTGTCAGTAAGTTAAAGCTCTGACACCTTAAATACAGCCTCGTTCTGCTCCAGGTCTTCTGGTTTGGCCTCCCACATCCCTGTACAACAGCGATAGAACTAAATGTCTCATCCTCAAGAGGCAACAGAGCCAATGTCAGCATCCAGGATAACAACAACCCACTCTGACTACAAGCCTCTCACCATGTGTTTGAATGCTGCTAAATGTGTCTTCTGCAGGGGTCTCCACCTTCTGTGGTAGGAGTGTTGTTGCTGTGGGATTCCAAGTGTGCGCGGGGTACATATCATCACCTAAACTCTCCTGTCTGTCTCTGGGCCTGCTGAGCAGCCGCAGCCCTGGCAGAGAAAAGGACAGACAGCACTATCATATTCAAATATGTTTGCATTTGACAAAATAAATGCATGTCACACCACATGCATGTCCTACCTCTCCGACGTCTGTGTGTTTGTGTGCTGGGTAACATCCTGTAGACTCTATAAGCGTTGCTGCCTCTCTTTCTGCTGTGCTCCCGCAGCTCACAGATGTCGGGCAGAGAATTCAAGGCACAGCGGAAATTAGCCTTCCACGTCTTTGGGTCTGGCTTGTCTTTACCTGGACGGTACCGTCCTGAAGCGAACAAGCAGAGGACAAACACTGGTCTATATGTGTATGTTCTAAGTTTTTTGCGTTGAGCCATTTCAACCGCTCATTTTTTTTCTCACTCAGTTTGTAGAATTTTCTATACCTGACTTCAGGTCTGCTATGTGCTAATTAGATTAAATAAAAAATCATTTTGGAATATGGCACTTGTAAGCACAAAACGGAAAACAAATATGTTCTACAGGAATTTTCTTCAAAATTAGTTGATAAAGCATTTTATGGCCCTTATTATATCAGCTGATATTGTGCTTTGGTGGCACATACTCACAGAACGGTTTCAGTTAAATTAGTGCAAATGAGTTGACACAAACAAAACGTGAAGACTGTGGTGTCCCTGGGCAGTTACCCGCTATGCCTGCATGAAGAAAAACTAGAATTCCTACTTTGCTGTTGTATGTCCCCACCAACCAGTCAAATTCATGGGTATGGGACAGAAGTGAGGTCCCTGACCTTAACCATTGACCACCAAAAACTAATCAGTTCACTGTTGAATCCAAGTGGACGCTTGTGCCAAATTTAAAGACATCCCCTCAAGGTGTTCCTGACATATCACGGTGAATGGGCCAAACACCAGGTCACAGTAAACTTTACTTTTGACCTCCAAAATCTAATAATTTCTTCATTGAGCTTCATTGCACCTGTAACCACACCCAGCGGTGTTGTGGTGTCCTGCAGAGCACCTGTACGACACAGCAGCCAGGTGGAGATCTGTAAAAGCTCTGGTGTGTAACCACTGTGGCTCTGTGGGTTGTGCCAACTGTGTACTCACCACCTCACATGACAGTCTGTCAGGACAAGCAGCTTTATAAACATGGTTTTCACATGAGTCATTTTAAACTGTTGTCTCTGTGTCAGCCTGAACGCAAACACAGACAGGAGCGTCTTGGAATAGCAATGTACTGCATACACAGGGGTACGGCTATTGCTTAAAGTTACTCCTTAAATACTAAATGGTTGTTACATAATTCCAAGTATTTATAAACTATTTATAAATAAGAGGGGCGGCATATTGGAAATACATGTAAAAAGTCAATGAAACCCCTAGTTCTGTGAAATAATAACCATACATTATTAAGAAATTGTTTATTTTGTGTAAAAATGAGACAGTGCTTTCTTTAGCTAACTTTGGCTGCTCTTCTTATAGAATGCTTATGACAGTACTGTTTGTTGGTACATGGTGTATTTGAACATTACTATAGGAATATGATCAAATATCAAATCAACTCTATCAGCCTCATTAATATCATCAATATTATTATTGTCAGATATCGCTATAACATCTGTCACTGTGCTGCTATACTTAAAAACACCTGTATCTATCAGCAGCTGGCAGACAATCTATCATCAACACTGTGATAAAGTGACTTCATCCAGTGTGTTGAGTCCGTTCTCATATTTAGCACCACAGTGCGATTTGGATCTCGGCCAGCGCTCTGAGTGTAACCGCCAGCCTCATTGATAAAATCACTGGAGCTGAACAGGGTCCACTATGGATCATTTACAGCAGATTTAGGCTGCACAGGTAGCAGCAGCTTTATCTTTCACCCGCTGTCCTCAGTGACTTGCAAAGCCTCTGCAGGTTTTATGTCAAAGACAACTTTATTTTTGAATAACTACACTGATGGTTCTTATACACTTTTGTTTATTAATTGTTTTGCTTTCTCCATCTAATGAATTTTGAGATGATAGTAACAATATTTATTTCACATAAACTACTGAATATGGTTTTTCTAGATCTTGTAAAATGCAATGTTCATGGGCAGATCATGAGACAACCTGGGCACAAGCATGGAAAAGGCCACCAAGCCTCTTACACCAGAGCACCAGACTGAAAGCAACCCAAAATGACTGCAAACAGCACAGCAGTGGCTTTTTTTTAGTAATCTGCAGTCAGTTTGTGTCACTGTATTCTGTGTGTCTTTGTTGTAATTTTATGAATCTCTGTGGTTGTCTTGAGTCGTCCTTTTGCATCTCTCTTTGGTCATTCTGTGGCTTTTTGCAAACATTACATGTGTCTTTGCAGTACTTTAGTGACTCTGTTGATCAATTTGCATTCACTTATATTCATAAATTCCTATCTTTGTAGTATTTTTGTAGGTGATTTGAGTCTTTGTGATCATTTGTGTCTTTTTCTAAGTCATTTGATTGACTTTCTAACCAGAAATGTTAACATCCACTTCAGAGGCTCTGGCCCAGGGGCCCCATGAACCCCTGGGCCCCTGGGCCTGTGCCCAGTAGACCTGTTCAGTTATCCATCCGTGGCAGCGCTGTACTTTGGAGGCAATATGATCACTCTGCACATTCACAGCCACTGAACTGGAGTTTTCCCATGATGTGATGCAGCTTCAGTCACAAACCGTGACTTTCCCAAGACAGAAACGTGCGATGAGTTTCACATGCGCACGCATGTGTGTGCATGTGAAACAATTTGTCAACTTTTTACTCAGAACAGTATGAGATTACATATAGATTATTAAACAAAAGCAATTAACAAGATTCTTATTAAATGAACTTTTATTCTATAACTTGTATAAATATATATGTTTAATGTTCTGTTTTAGACGTTAATTAATCCAGAAGAACACTAAACAAACCACTCAGTGTTATTTGTTTGATTACAGGTAATCAGTAATCTGACAGAGATTACGTTTTCATAAGAAATTTAATTAATACAATAAACTGAAACAATTTTACAAATGTAGTGCTCTGCCGTTGTCTAACGACCATGAATACAGAGCACCTAAAAGCATTTTGCTTAGTTCCCCTGGTGTTTTTTTTGTTGTTGTTGTTGTTGTTTCTACAGATAAACTGTTAGTGTTTGCCCTATCTATCTATTTGTGTTATTTAGGGTTATTGTGCAGTTTTCATCACCTGTACACTGGATGTTGACAGGAATGCGGTATGTCTAGAAATTCATGGGCTGAACAAAACTATCTGTTGGAAACACTTCTACTAAAGAAGAAAGAAGTCAGCGAGAAAACCCCATCAGATGGTTACAATCATGTCAGTACAAATAGCCAAGTGGCATCAAACAGGCACATTTTAACTTTGGAATAATTTTAGAAACTTTATTTTTCCAAATGTTATGTAAGGACATGACACACAGTATGTACACGCTGAGAATTTATATATATATTTTTTGGCTTTAAAATCTAATAAAACTCATCTTTTTTCAGGATTTTCTTTTTTTAAACTTCTTTTTGGCATTTTAACCACTCGACTGCCAGGACACCTCATAGAGGTGAAGAATAATGCCAAATATGAAATGAGGAAGGAGGTCTTCTATATAGACTCTTAACAGGCAGAAAACAGGTGGTCACTAATTTGTAGCTGCTTTGGTTCAGAAAATGTCTTAGGAAAACACTTTGCTGAGACTAATGCAGTCCAACCCAACAGTCCTACAATAAATCCTCCAGCAGGTGATAATGTTCAGTTTGTTCAAGTTGTTTCAGAGAGGTGTTGATTCAGCTGTCTGATCATTTTGGGGCTTTAGTTTCTGTTGAATTGCTCTGTGTTATACTGACTGTTTTTTTATTATTATTTTGTCCACCCCATTACTACAGTATTATACTGCATTAATCCTAGGCAGGTCTACTTAATAAACTGCCAACTGAGTGTATGTATATGGATCGCAAATTACAAATTACTGAAGTCTGTGTCTGCGATGGGCTGGCGACCTGTCCAGGGTGTACCCTGCCTTTCGCCTGCAGCTGGCTGGGATTGGCTCCAACCCCCCGTGACCCCGTTTGGGACTAAACGGTTTAGAAAATGGATGGATGGATGGATGAAGTCTGTGTTTTACGTGTGTGAACATGATTAATAAATTTGGCACATGGTAATATTGTGACATCATAAAATATTCTAATTAATATCAGTAGCAGTGCTGGGGCTTCCTTGTAAGAGTGTAACACATCTGACACAGTGCCCCGGACTGACAGAATAAAAACGTCATTTGTATTAGTGTGTGGCTCCTACCCGTGTGCATGGCCCAACTCCTGAAGAGTGTCGCATCTCGGTCAATACTCCAGCCATGACGAGCCGCATGTTTCCACGGGATCTGGAAGATTCGCGCTGACTGTAGAATAAATAACATAGCATTGAGCAGGTTGCATTGTTGCCAAGAATATGTCATGATTCAAACACTGATCCACAAAAAACATTTTGCACTTATGTGTGTATGCATGTTCATATGTGTATGTGTGTGGGGGGATGAGAGTGAAATGGGGGGGTCTACCTGGTCCAGCCAGCTCACCCCTGGATACCTCCCAGACTGGATCTGCTCCTCCAGCCACGGCCTCAGCCTCAGGCGGCCTGGTTGTTGCATGATGCAGCCCGAGCTTCTGGTGTCCGGGAAGGTGTTCACTATAGCTGTGTCACCAGCGCCACAGGAGTTTCAGCAGTACCAGAAAACTTCGTAGGAGCTCAGACTAAATCAGAGGTTACACCGGGACACCTTTCCTCCTCCACCTCCTTTCCTCCAATCAGAGCTCATAGTTAAGACAATCCCTGTCCTCCTCCAATAACCTTCCTCAGTGTTTAGGTGGCTCCTCCAGTTACAGGAAATACTGCATGTTGCTTTCTTCATGAATGAGACTGAGGTCAAGTATTAACAGAATGAAGATATATAGTTTTGTGTAAATGTTGTTCCTACAATTCTACACAGTAATCACCCTAGTTCCAAATCAAACATTTGGCGAATGCATTGTACATTAAGCTTGCTACATTTAATTCTGGCCTGAACGGGTCACCTTCAAGGTTACAGACTAAAGACTAAAGTATTTTTCCTGATCCTGTGGTTTCTAACGTGATTCAAAGTTACTGCAGAACACAGCAGTGTATTTTTGTAAGACCAGCAGGTGGCAGCAGAGATGAACTGCTCCTCATGTTATGTCAGTGCTTTTATTTTAGAAGTTGATATAAAAGAATGATCATTGTTTAGATAAGCAACACCCTTGTCTCTCCTCTTAATAATGTTCACATCGGTATTTTAAATATGCAGAGCATGCAGTTTGATACTATATCATTTTCAGGGAACTGATGACTATGTGTTGAATATTGTATTTGATTCATAACTAGACATGATGATCAAGAGCCGATGTAAAATACTGTCTTCATTTTAGTGGCACTGAAATAGTATTATTTATTAAAGTATTCTCATAGTAAAAATACAAATACTACCTGAAAATACATTAATGAAAATTTTAGCAATACTATTTAACAGGTTTGTAAATTCCAGTTTATTTCCAAATAGTTTCCTAAGGTGTTCCCTGTATAATTTGGTACTAATAGGTAAAATTAGAGAGTGATTTTGAGTGGTTTTTATTCAGAAGGTGAACCAAAGTTGTCTACAAACAACCACACAATTCAGCATAAATGAAAAATTAAATTTCAAATAATGAATAAATGACTAGAAACTGGGTTTTAAAGCAAACCATTTCTTTCATGACAATTCTTCTGGAAGGACTTAATAAACACAAGTCAGTGGACTAAATATAAAAACGCAGTTTCAGAACTTTGTCTGTTTTTCTATAATTAGTGCCAAACTTCATGGATCTTCCTAGGAAATGTAATTATTAGGAAATAGCCTAAAATAAAGTCGTATCAAATTTTATGTTAATATCAACTTAACTGGTCAAATAATTGCATTCTATTATCAAAAAGTAACACAATCATATTGAAATATATCAGGCTTTAATTATAATTGTATTGTAAGTAACAATATGACTTGGTGACTTTGTGCTTACAGTTTTTTGCAGTTGCTAACATCCATTTGTCCACTCTCCTGGTGCCTTTCTGTGTGCAGTTTGCATGTTAGGTTGGCTGGTGGCTCTAAATTAGACTTCATCCGGTGTAAAACATGCAAAGTTTAGCATGCGTATCGTTAGTTGGGTGGCAACGGATGATTCGCTGTGGCCAAAGGTGGTGAGATATAAGATTACGTCTGTCACAACAATACGATTAAAGCAAACTGCCCGTTGTGCATTTAAGCTACATGAAAACACAATCCACATGACACAATATGAACATTTTTTTTATTTTCTGCCCAAACACAGTCTTTGTTTCACTTATTGACACAAATGGCAACAGGTCTCTTGGCAGTAGCTGTGACAGTGCGTGTAGCCATGTTGACGTGTGTTTCTGTGGAAACACCCTAGCAATTCCTGCGAAGAGCTATAGTATGAGTAAATGTCACAAGCATGAACTGTATCAGCTGACTTGTTTCAGAGGAAGCATTCAGGCCATTCATTGTGATGTGACTTTCTTTATAGTGCCACATGTGCTAGTTCCCTGGTGATGACTATCCAGGTCAGATCAACCTCATAAAGGGATTTTAATCACCTACCATTTAAGCTTGACAATCACACATTTAAGACAGACTGCAGACAGTGGGGTTCTCTCCTCATTTGTACACCACTGAAAGAATGAGTTTTCCAAGAGCTATGTAGATTTAAATTTGAAAAACAAATGACCTTAACTGAATGTCAGATATGAGACACAGATACATGAGCTGACTACAGTTCTTCAGTTCAAGCATTTATATCAGACACATATTCCAAAGTCAGGTCCCAGAACAAGTGCATTGTGTTCTCTGTCGGACATTTAGCTTTTATGTGCAATCTTTATCAAAGCCAGCTGTGGAATCTAAAAGCTGATCATAACTGCAAAGTATTCACAGTGAATTTTCTTTGACTCAAAGCAGCAAATAAAAAATATCTACAACAGTTTTTACAGCTGAGGAAACAATGTCAAGTCAGGGTCTATATAACAATTGTCCTGGAGCTTTCAACCATGTCAGCAGACATAAGAAGAAAGCAAATATTCTGGTATTTTGTAACAACAGGGAAAACTCTGTCTACTGGTCAAGACCAGGTGAAATAGTCAAACCATCAGGAACAGCTACTAAATGGACCTTGTGATCATTTTGCTGCTATTTCCAAGTTCAAGAATTAACTTGGAAAGTCATGTTAGCAATTTTAACACTGTCTCCCCCAACAATGCTTATAATTTAAAGAAGCACAAATCACACAAAAAATGAATCCATAAAAATTCAGCACTACACACTTTGATAGCCAGTGTCTGTGATTACTGGCCTAGACTGGTCAGCAGAGCCCACAGTGGGGAACAGTGTTTGGAGTGCCGAGAGACACTGGCCACCCCTGACATTGTTCATGAAACTTGGGATCAGTAGAGGCATCTTAGCAAATGAGTCTTCTGGATATTTGTCCAAATGTTCCTCCCTCTTGCCGCATCTCTGCTCTGAAGGCAAAACCTCGGGCTGCTCCACTAGACTCTGAAACGCCTGGTAGTCGTCATCCACTGGAGGAAAGCTGTTTGAGTGGTAGCAGGGATTTTCATCACATGTGATGGCCTCTTCATTGTTTCCCCCTTTTATTGTCACATCACTGACTACCTCATGAAAGCTCCCACTCCCAGCCTCAGCTCTGGACATGATCTCAGATGAGGCAGATGTGTTGGTGCCACTAGAGATGGAGAACACACTGGAGTCTTCTGCATAAGAACACCTCCCAGAATCTGAACTACTGCACTGCTGATATGGCATGTCTGTTGGCATGAGAGGTGAAACCACCGGTGGTACATTAAGACGTGGGAAAGCTGGTGCCTGCTGCTCAGCACCGGTCCCGGTGCCACCCTCACAAGGATGGTATGCAGAGTCACAAACCATTTCAACCTGAGTCTGGACCTCAGAGTGGTCCTTCATAAGCTCATGTGGGTAGCTGGGAATGAGGACGGAATAGGTTTTATTGTCAAATCCTGATGATCCAAAACTCATGTTCTCATGTCCGGGAGAAGCCATGAATAAACCACTGTCTTTGTTTGATTCTGTGAGCTGGGTCAGTGGTGATATCGGGCTGATATTGGGGAAGGCTTTACCAAGAGCCTCCTGAACACCAGCTATAATATCAGTCGGTTCTGTGTTAGCGTAACTGAAGCAAGAGGAGCCGGTGCTGACTCCACTGCTGTGTTGAGGGCTCCCACTGCTAGTGTCTGACAGTGAGCCCTTCGACCTGGACACAGAGAAACAGCTCACTCAAACTGCACACAGAATCTCAGACATCGCTAAGGAATGTGTTGCATTGCTGCTGCATGAATGCAGCCATACTGACCATGGTTTGCTGTCATCTGGAATAAGGGGTTCAATGCAGAGAGAGGAGATGATGGGTGGCTCAGGCTTCAAGAACTGAAACCAGAAGGATAAAGATGATTAAAACTGCAGATCTGAAGCATTTCAGTTAAAGGTGTCAATTTTATAATAAATTTGACATTTTGCTGTGCAGAAAAATCACTTGACTTTAAATGGTTTGGTGACACACATCATGAACGGATTATGAGACACTAGGCCCCCCTCCCTTCATTTTGTACCTCTGTGGTCATTTTGCACCTACAGTATAGTTTGTTGGGGATCATTTTTATCATTTTGTGTCTATATTTAGTTGTGGCCACTTATTTCTGATTCTTTTTGGTTGTTTTTTATTTCATTTTGGTATCTTCTTTTTTTAGTTGCTTTGAGTCTCTCTGTAGTTACTTTTGTCTAGGATATATTTGTTTATGTCTATGAGTTTGTTTTGCACGTCCTTGTGTTCATTTTGCATCTCTTTGGGGCTATGTTGCATCTGTTTTACTCATTTTGCATCTATTTGTTCTTGATTGACCTTCTAACGAGAAATGTTACCAGTCATCTCATACAGAGTCTCTGGTCATGTAACAGTTTAAGCTGCAAGTCACTGGGTGTCATACCTCTTGTTCATTTGGATGCATTGCAAGAAGCTTTGGATTTGGACATTTGGCAACTGTGTCCCACCACTTTGTCTTGAACCTAAAAACAAATGTGCAAATAAATCAACAAAATCACATATGATACACAGACAGAACACACAGTTGCTCTATTTAAAGGAAAAACATTCAAATAATTCTCTAACAGGGAAACAAGGCAAAGACATTGTTTTATCTGCATGACTTACTTTATATAACAGCAATATATAGCGCCGCTGATGCCGAGTGCAGCAATACTGAGGCTGATGATGAGAGCCAAAAGCAGGCTATTACGGGAGGCGGCTGTGAAGTAACACAAATGAAGGGTAATAATCACTCCATTTTTGTACAGAGGAAATGCAGAACAATGTTCACACTCCAGTTTAAAGGCCAAACAGATGCTAATGTGGGTCACTCGTGTGTTCTTCAGAAGCATAAATGTGACAACTTCAAGTGCTGTGTGCACCAACAATATGACTTTACAGTGACTTGTGTTGAATCACTTATCAAGTCAAAGCAATGGCAAGGCAAAGGCTCTTAACATGTTTACTGGCTGTAGAGCATGTGGGTGGAGAGGGAGGTACCTAGGCTGCAGCAATGAGCCTGCACATAATGGTGTAATGTTCAAATCCCACATACAGTGGCCTTGAATCATGAGAACTGTGGAGACTGACAATAAAAATGGGTTTTTACTTATTTTGTGTTTCTCACATTTCAGCGCTAAGAATGATAAAAGCTACACTGGTGAGTCGGGTGTGGTGTGGTATTTCCCAACCATAAATTTGGAGGTTCTAATCACGGTGCCTGCAGTCCACATGTCAAAGTGTCCTTGGGCATTTAAAATGTAATCTATGTCACATCAAAATGTACAAAAAATGGGGGTCTGATATGTTGAAAACCTTTTATGATGTGTAAGAAATCTACAGGAGCCAAAATGACACTTACAGGTTGTGAATTCCTTCTCTTCGCTGCTGTCACTGAACTTCCTACTATAATCTGTGTAGCTTTTCACGCTAACCACATAAGTTGTACTCGGTTCCAAGTGTCGACCAAGTATTTCATAATAGTTCCGTCCAGCAATGGAGGTTGGTTTGATAAAGTCAGACACCTGGTGTGGAGAAACAAGAATCATAGAAAGAAAGGTTCGGTAACCATTGTGCCTTTACTTTAAGGTGATATGATCCAGTGCCCACGTCGGTGTCAGCACCTCCACAACAAATGATCAATGATGTCAGTGCTTACGACATCGCTCCTACCTTTTCTGTGCCTCCTTTCTTATGGTACGTCACATTAGCAAACAAGTTGTCATTCAGTACGCCTTTTATGTTTGTATCCCACTGGATTTGATAATTTCCATTGAATTCCTTCACTGAGACGATCGTTGGGGTTTTGGGCTTTACTGTAGAGGAACAGACATTAGAGGAGTAAGAGGAGTGTTTCTTAACATCCATGTTGTTCTGGGTTTGGACCACTCTGTTTCTGGCTGTTGCAGATATATGGAAGTCAACTTACTGCTGCCTGTGATGCTGATAGTTTTGGACTCTATTCTTTGGCCTCCTTTCAGAACTGTTGCTGTATGAGTCTCCCCAAAAACAATGACAATGATGGCAGAGCAACAGCACTGTCCGCTATCACACTGCTGCAAAACACAATCCACCTTCCTGTGAGATAAATATACAAACAACATGGTCTGAATATACTAGGCTGTATGTCTTCCAAGAATATTAGATATCAACTCAAACTTGATTTAAAAACCAAACTTAAGCTAAGAAGTATACTATTTTAACGCTGTAGTTGCATTAACTCTATGGTGAAACATAAAAACAGAAACTACCTGGGGAGATGCTGTTGCGATAAACCATTTCTGTGCTGCCTCAAACTTGATTTAAAAACCAAACTTAGGCTAAGAAGTATACTATTTTAACACTGTAGTTGCATTAACTCTGTTATGTGTAACCGACGGGTTGGCCACGCCTACAACGCCTGGTTAGTAATTTGGCAGAATAATCATGGATATAAATAACACCTGGGGAGATGCTGTTGCGATAAACCATTTCTGTGCTGCTCACTGCCGTAACTGGTCTGAAGTGAATCTCCCTCCATTGGTCTGTGTCCTGCTTCTCCTTTAATGTATGTCCAACGGGCTGATTGTAGATCGGATCTGTAACAGTGCAACGTGCTTAATCAGGTTGTTTTGGTTGTAGACTGTTTGCCGAATGCTCTCCAGGAGCGATAATTGATGCGAGCGTGATCCAGTAGAAGTTGGCGTCCATTGCACATGCTGTGCTAGGGTGATCAAATAGGGTTTGAGGAAGCGCAGGCCCAGGGGGGTGCCCTGCTTCAGGACCCCTGTGGGACCTCTTTCCTCTAGGTAAAGAACACTTGAATGTGGTGTTTATTTAATGGTGCCTTTCATACCTGTTGACTCTGACCATTTTTTTCCTGTTCTGCACTGTATTTATTGAGTGGGGAGTAACTTCTTAACCATTGTATTACTTCTTATAGGTAGCATTTTAGCTTTTGGGGTTAGGTTTCTTAAAACATTTTCATTGTTAAACTATACTTTGACTCAAATAAAGTTTTATCTGTGTGAGTAACTCCAACGTCTCCGTGTTTGCAGATCTATCTGGGGGTAGCAGCTCAGTACTGGGGAAGTTTGCATGAGTTTGACCTCTGAAAACAGGAGGGGTGTTATTCTTGGGGAACTACTAAGAGTTACTACGGTCTGAGTTGCTTAGGCCTGTATATTGGCCCGGTCACAGGTGAAACATAAAAACAGAAACTTACCCATATCCTCCGTCGTTCACGAGGGTTATATTGTATTCTGAGCAGTTTTTCGCTTCAAATTGGCAAAACATCACCCGGTCAAAGTCGTTGGTGCAGTCAAGATTTACGCTTGTTCTATTAATTCCTGTAAGAAACAGATACATACTGATGATGAGAACGAGTTGTTAGGTAGGTAAACATGTTGAAAACTGTCTAAATTCCAGCCTTACATACCAGACAGAGCTGCTACAGTCCCAAAATGTCCTAAAATCAGCAGGATGATAGACACTCTGTGGCGCACTGGCCTAAGAGCAAACGCAATAGGAGGTATTTACTTTTCCTCAGTGCAGCTTGATCATTTAAATAGCACAGACATTTCCCAAGACTCGACCTTACCTGTGTAAGTCCATGTTGAGACGATTTATTCCACTTATTTCCCTCGACAACCACAGTTCCACTCAGCTACGACCCATTTCGCAGGGGCGTGGACATAGTTTTCTTCGTGTACAAGTCTGAGTCTCTGTCTTCCTGATATGGGAAGTTGTTACTGGAATCGTTGTGCCACTAATTCAGGGGAAATGCGTGCGTCTCGCTCCAATTTCCTCATACTCCAACTTCAACCGAACGATGAAGCAACACAAATGGCAAAATAAAATACTAATGGGGCTACTACATATCTGGATAAACGCCAAATAGAGCCATAGGTTATACATTAAAGTGTACTATTCCATATTTAAGTGTTTCTAAATGAACGGTATTCAGAGTTCCTGGTTGAAAGAACTGGGTAATATCTTTCAGCATCATATTTCAAGCTGATCTATGCACACGGTGCAGTCTGTCCCACTTAAAGTATCAAGTACCATTAGTTGCCTTGTTGTTTTAGCGCTGCTGCACATTACTAAAAGCAGCTACCACTTCCCGTTGTAATGTGTCCATTCACCCCAGCTGACTCATTACAGCAAAATCAAATGACAATAGCCAGGACTAGACATTCCACTGTTTGGACTGACAGTCTGGTCTGGCACCTGAGTGGTCAGGGTGTTTTCTTGAATAGATTATTGATGATTGATCTGCAACAGGAAAGCTGAAAGCAAAATGCATCTTGGTTAAATTAGCAATTTAATAAAACGAGTGTATGAAGAATTTAAGTGAAAACTTTGTAAACACTGTGGGGGAAATGACACGTTTGGGTTCAAATTTGATAAAGTATTTGCTCATGTTTAGTGTTATTATGGAAAGATGAATAACCTAGTGAAGCTGTAGGTTTTTAACAACATAGTTTTTACCAGCATCATGTTTATATCAGGTGTCTTACCATTTGCATTCCTGGATGCATATCTGGAAGTTTTGGATTTGGACATTTGGCAACTGTATTCCACCACTTGTAGTTTTGAACCTATAATCCACAAAATGGTAAGAAAATAAGTCCATAAATAAATGTAATTCTTATCTTATTTCAGCCCATATAACCATGGACAAATAGACTACCCTACTATTAGCCAACAAAAGCTGCTGTACATGTTTACTATAGTATAAGTGAGCATCCCTGTGTCCCATCTATGGGACAGTCTCTGTGGACATGTTGTCCCTAATAAGGAGGACCACGTCTTGTTAATGTCTTTACACACTATTTTCTGAATTTCTCATTTCAAATACCGGATGCTTACTTTAAGAATTGCAATATATGCAAAGTGTTTGCTTCACTGCTGGTAAGCCTGATGAAGACCCTGCCCCCATCCAGGATGACAGTGTTACTGAAGTAAAATAGTAACACCATAATGCAAAAATACTAAAATGCATAAGTACCGACAGCAAAATATACTCCAGCTATCAAAAATAAGTGTTCTTAATTCGCACAAGTTTCTTTTATTATTGAAATATTAGATACAGTAATAGCTAGCAACTACAATAAATACATGTCAGCCTGAAATAGTGTAGTAGAAGTACCCTGCTGAGGGTTATTATTTATGGTTATTATTTTGTGCAGCTGATACTGTATTTCTCACTGAACCGACTGCACTTTGGTGCGCACCTATGTAGGCGTTAAAGTCTTATTTTGAAAGCCCCTGCCGGATGCAGCAGGTCCTCCGGAGTCTGACCGCTGCTGCTGTGCGGAGATGAAAATGTCCAGCGTCACTTCTGATAAATCACCGCATGTTTCAAACGTCTGGATCGCTCTCAGGCGGCTTGACAGAAACGGTTCGTAGGTTTCTCTAAGTTGTTCGACTTGTTACTTTATCAGCGATGAATTCTTTTTCAGACACGGATGTGCTCGGTCCGTGCGTCTGTATCCATGGCAACCATCTTCTTTGAACATCGAGATGCGCGCTCGACCGAGAATAACTAGTAGCGCTCATGTCCATAAATGGTTACGTCTCATTTCTAATGTTCTCATGTTGTAAAGTGATTCAGAGAGGGAATGACAAGTCTGTTCTGAATAAGGGATTATTGTGGAAGAAAATGAATCCTGCTCCTTGGCTTGTGTGTGTGTGGTTGCAATTATGGCTTTTTATTGTTTAATATATATTATAATCTGCTAATGCGATACAGATCAGTTATAAACCACATTTGGGTTGCCTCATTATCAACATTTTGTTTGGTGAGTTATTAATAGTCAAGTCACCAATAACAGCTCAGGTCTGCAGATATAGGCTAAATATTCATAAGTCGTTAATGAAGATTAACAGACTACTGCACCAGTTCTGTCACTAAAGTCATTATAGTCATAAAGGTTTAGAGTTTTTCACTTTCACTTTCTAATAAAGCATCAGAATACATCATTAGCATCAATAAGGGATTGTTTAAAAGGTTTTTGAAATAATAATCTATTAGGTATAAATGTTTAAAATCTCCTCTATACACTCACGTGCCACTTTATTTGGTACACCTGTACAATTGTCTGTACTTCATTGCAACGTTTCCACCTCAGTGTCTGTGTTTATGAAGCTCAACATGTTTCAGTTTTTGGTGAAACTGTCGAATGTATAAATTCAATTATATGTTTATTACAGAGGTGTCATAGTTAAAGGTGGTGTTGTACTGGACTACATTATATTTAAAAGTGTTCCTAATATTCTGACCCTCTCATGTATGTAGCTGGGGAGGACAAACATATAGAGACATCACCTTGAGGTGGAACTGTTGCCTTGAACTGCATACACTTGTACAGGTGTACCTAATAAAGTGGCCTGTGTGTGTGTGTTTGGGGTGGGGGGGCCTTGGTCATGTTTTACAACTGACCTGTCATTAATAAATTTTTTTAGCTGCACCTTATAAATGCTTTTAAACAGGGACTCTTGGAAAGTGGTAGCAGCTCATGGTGTGCCTGTTGCAGATGACAGAGTGGTGGCTCTTCGACAAGTGTCCGTTCCTCCAGCGGTTGAAGCTACTACGATCATACAGGTGTGCTCCAGCTGTTGCTTTTATTATTGTACCTGCGCGGTACTGTATGTAATTTGCCAACAGCCCAGATCTATATATCATTCTCTACACCTGCCCATCCTTCCACTGTTTATACCTCACCTTCTCTGGGAGTGTTGGATAAAGCCTCAATTGGACAACGACCACTGCATTTGAAGTAGTTCTTATAAATTATTTGCCAGTGTTTGGGACTTTTACAAAATATATGCCTATTTTGGGAAGACTCTGTTGTCTGCTGTATTTATTGATATCACCATTATCATTGTCAGTTATTAGTTATTGTGATTATTGTATTTCTTTATTTTGACACCTATTGCTATGAAGGTGTTAGTCATAAAGGCTACAACACACATTAAGTGAAAGGATGGATCTGCTGTTGTTCACCTTTTGAAAATTTTGTGAGAATTTATTTAGCAAATAATGGAAACACCTGTATTTTGTAATGTTTTATATTTTGACATCATATCTTTTGCGTTGGTTCTCTTGTCAGATCATCACCACTACCTTTGGGCTGAACTCTTCTGATGTCATATTCAAGGTAGAGCAACTCATTGGTCTTCTTCGTGTTTGAGATGCAGGTCTGTTTCTGAATGTTGCATATTCATTTCTTTATTTAATTAACCAGAGGTGGCTTGCATTTGTCTAGAAAAAGAAAATCTGTTTTTGGTTGTAGCAGAGACTATCAAAAAGCAGTTAGAGTTCCCAAAACCACAGTGAGTTGGATCACTGGTGCTTTCATGTGTGTGCAGATAAGGAACCACCGTGGCTGTATGATCCCCCTGAACAGCTTCATCCCTGCTAATAGCTTATTCCTGAACAGCTTCATCCCTGCTAATAGCAAACACGTGTAAGAAATCTTCACTGCAACCAGCTAGGCCTCTGTTTCTGTACATCTACTTAGTGGATACTCAATTTCCTAAACCCATGTATTCATGTATTTTTCACTACAGGCCTTATGTGCTGGAGGTAGCCCGGTGCTTTCAGCATGGTACGAGCAGATTTATCTTCTGAACTCTTCCAGTGCGTTATCTTTGATATTAGAGAAAATACATATGGTTTCTTTAGATAAGTTAGATGAGGAGATTAATATCACCCCCATGTCTGTCTGATAAATATGAGGCTACCGCCACCAGTTAGCTTAGCTTAGCATAAAGACTGGAAACAGGGGGAAACAGCTAGCCCTGCCCAAAGATAACTTACCAGCATATTTAAAACTTACACATTAACACATGACATTTCCTTAACCTGATAATGGTTTTTAACTTCAGTTCTTGGTCAGATTAAACAAACAAAATATCAAATGGTAGTTAATCATTGATGCTTGTTTATTGTTTTCTCCTTTGTTTCAAAAATGGCTTTGCTGCACAAGATCAATAGCAGGTTCCCAAGTTGTAATCAGTTAGCAGTCATTCCCTTTTCTTACACATTAAATGAAACAAAAATCCACATGAAGAAAAGGAAAGTTGTTCATGCCTGAGGTTGTTACTGGTCTGTTCCCAGTGTGTCCCAAACCCAGAACCATTCCCATGACCATGATCAACAAGAGCATGAAGACCAGGCTCCAGACTACTGACAGGCGGGTAAGACAGAGTAACGACATACAGTAACACTAATATGATGTTTGTGCTTTTCCTTCAGTCAAGTGAGAAATTAATTATTAATTATAAAAATAAAGTCTGAAGAGGTTTTCACTGATAAAAAGATGAATAAGGTAGTGCTGTGTTTTTGTCAGTTTTACTGTAGATATATTCATTTATATTTTAATAGTTTACTTTTTTTTTTTCATTAGAATTTCATCTGGACTGTAAAACCTCTTATCACCTGCCAGAATGAAGATTCCGTGTTTTATTATAGATTCAGAGACTGGAGGACATTCTGCCTCAGATCAAACTGAGGCACAATGAAAAACTAAGCCAGGTACTGAAATTTTCCTTTAGGCTTTTGACAGCAACAGACACAGAATGTTATTTGATTGTTTGTTTTTGACAATATGAATGAAACAGTTTGAGTTATAATTAAGCTACTTTAAAACGGTCTTTTACACTCATATCCATTTCTGCATCCATGACCATGGCCTCTCTGTCCTGCCTCAGGAGATTGAATGTCTCAACCAGAAGCTGAAGTTTCTTCAGCAGAGAATGCAGGTGAGTCACTGTGATCAAACATAACAAGCATCCAGCTTCAGCTCAGATTGCTGTAGCTTGATCCTCCATACAATAGCAACAAGATGCTGAATTAGTGACATCTGAAAGTGAAAATCTAATATGGAATCCATTTTCTGCAGTTTACAAGGATGCACTTATTATTTGGCATTTCAGTTATTTCAAAGTTCAAGGCTTTTGTGAGGCTTCCTGTATCTGTTCAGTGAATCTATTATGTAACTGACTAACAAGCATACTTTCCAGCCACACAGCAGCAACCTTGGTTAGAAATGTACCTTTAACACTGGCGTCAAATGGCACTTTCAGTGTTTGATTGAATTTGCAAACCTTTTTTTAACTGAATATTTTTTTGGCAGCGGTCTCAGAAACACTTCCAGGGAATGTTTTCATATATTCTCCAAGTGTGTATTGTTTCTGCAGTCTTTGTGTTTCTTACTGCATGTCATTATTTTTCAGTTTCATGTCTGCACACGCTGCCCTGCTCTGTTGCAGGTTGCAGATTCTCACGGATGGAAGGGGGTGCTGACCAGAGCCCCTCTGTGGTAAACAAACACCTTCCAGCTGTTTTACAGTAGATGACACAAACCATCTGTGGGTCTGTGGTTGCACTCATCTTTCACTGCAGATGATATCATGTCACTAGGTGAAGGTGGTCTTATGTCATACTTGCTTACATTGTAATAAAGTGTGTTCAACTTTCCTGATCATTGTGTTGAGATCTGAAATCTGCAGTCACCTGTTTGGACAGAATCCATGTCCATATTTATCAAAATTTTAAGAAAGACACTGCAGAGCTCTTTCGTAATGTAAAAAAGTAAAAAAAAAAAAGGTCTTGGCTGAGTTTGAGCAATAAGACACATTTATCCTACTTACAGCCAATAGTTAGTCCGTTTTAAGAGCAACTCTCATGCATGCTCAGACACTACATCTGTTAATTTTATTTTGTGAAATCTTCTGGTTAACAGGTTAACAGTCTAATATATTACTGAGATGAAACAACAGGAAATTGGCAGAAATAAAAACTAAATTCTGCTGCAGGACATTTTGCTGTTGGTAGGTGAAAAATGATATTTTGTATAATACCACTGACAAGTACAGACAGTGAAGATACTTGATATTGAAGACTGTGATTAGACAGTGAGTTTGTTTTGTGTCCCTGACAAAAATGTCAGTTATATAATATTTCAATATTATTTATTATACTGCAGCATCCTGGCAGAGATCATACTGCATCTTTTGAAGCATTATTTGTAAGAAGGCCATTAACAAAGGAAGTCAGACCTTTTCAGTCTTTAAGAGCAAGATGGATGGCTTCAGATGATGGAATGGCAGCACAGTGACCCTCCAGGTGAAGAGTAGAAGCAAATCTACCTATAAGTGCAGCACATCTGTGGGAATGTCAGTGACAGTGCTGTCTATCCCAACAATATTTGATTCCATTTGAATGCCACAAATGTCTTCTGGTGTTGAATTACTCTTAACAAATGGAAACATATAAATGACCCTAAAATTTGACTAATTGTGTAAATTGCAGTAAAAATATGTTTTAAAATGGGGGGGGGGAAGCGAAGTTGGATTTTTTAACTGCCAATCTACCGATCCACATCCTGTCCAGTAGGTGGCGGTAATGAGCGCACAAGCTGACTCGCCAACTGTCTAATTCAAAAAAAAAAAAAAAAGAAAAGAAAAAAAAGAAAAAGAAACGAAGAAGAAGTGTGTGCAGTAGTAAAAGATTTAAAACTAAGAATTAATGTGTATTTAATATTACCTAACTGGTGTGCGCGTTTAGATCTTTTAACCACATTTGAGTCTGTCTTTATTAATGTTTGTTGGTACTGAAGTTGCTGCGGATACAATTAAGTTACTATGAGAACTATGCTGTTTTCGAGAGGTTTCGGTTAAGCCAGGTTAGCATGCTAGCTGGGTCCGAGTGTGTGCCTCTGAATATGTGCAGACTAAATGTCTACTAGACGGGCTCTGGTGCAGTGTGTTGTGTTGTCGCTGCAAGATGCCTGTGTGTTTTATCCGTGCTGTAAGTGCTGCTTCTCCAAGATCGATGCTGAACAACAGGACACAACAAGGTAAAAACAAACAACCAAACAGACTCACTTTCGAAACTTTGCTGTGACTAAATAATGTGTTAACTTGTTCGAGTTAACTAAAAATGATAATTCTACCAGCAGCTTATTATCTTCTTTAGGGGAAACTATCTAAAGCCTGTATCTGAATGAGCTTCTAACTCCACAGATTCAGATGCTCCAGGTGTGGATACAGCTGTGTGAGGGAACAGGTCGATTACAGATATCGGCTCTCACTGAGGGTGGCCCGGGACCCATGCATATTTGGAGTAACAGTCTTTGGAACATGCTTGAACCCATTCTTTGGCATCCATGCAAGTGGAATACAGAGGTGAGTGGAGAAAACCATCTTTAGCACAGCTCCACATTACTGTAATTGATTCCCAAGACTTACATGCACTCACATAATGTGCAACTTGTTGCACACTTTGCACATTTACACTACCTCAGTTTTGTACATATGTATGTATTTATTATACTGTGGGTTTAATGTAAAAATGTTATGCTTAGTTGTATATTTATTATCATTGGTATGTTTGTACTGCATTACCGAAACAAATTCTATGTGTTTGAAAACTTGCAGATAAACCTGTTTCTGATTGTGACCTCCATCTCAGTTCTTTTGTACATGAAGATTAATGTTTTGTTTCACAAAAGTATATTAGCATTTTTTACGGTGTTAGCCTACTACAGTAGATGTTTCATCTGAGGGATCCATCTCTTTTAGGAAACACAGTGGGAAACGCTGTTTTGCTCATAGAGCACACATTTTTGTTGTTTCTGAAATCTTGTAGGTTGGTGAACAGCTCGGATGAACCAGTTGGAGCAGCAATCAGATCCACGTTGTTGGTCAAGGCTGTCAAGGATTGTTTCATTGGCAGACATTTCATCTTTGGCATCAAGGTACAGCTGCAATTGGGTGTTAGATATCATGGCTCACAGCTTATGCATGGAATGTTTGCCAGCGTTTGACCAAAGAGCCTGGCATCGCAGCTGTTGTCTACACATAGGTGTCAGTCAAACACAAGTAGATAGGTGATCTGAGATCACTCTTACCTTTTGCACATTTTCCCAATAGCCAGTTAGATCCCAATGTTTTCCATAGTATGCTTTAACTCATCTTCCTTGGTAAATCCAGTATTATTAAACAAGTACTGCTAATTACCAACTCACATGTTAGATGAAAAGTGATGAATGTTATGCAAAAACCCGCAAACCTGCAAGTTGTGAACCCCCACCGACCTGGACAGTGGTGAATCTGATTATTTATAATTGATAATACTGTGGATCAGGATTTGAACAAGGGCAGTGACTGATTATTTTCATTATTAATGAGATTTTTAAAATGTAAGACAAGAAAAAGCAAATGTTTGGAATTTTTGCTTGAAAATGATTAAACATTAAACTTAAAGCGCTGCCAGTTAATTTTGTGCTGATGAATAAATCAGCTAATTGTCTGAGCTTTAATTTGATCAACATTACCAAAATGTGTCCATCAATTTTTATGCTGCTTGATCTCAGCCATCTCTGGTCTTGTTTGTGTCCTGTAGGTAACTGGAACAGAATGTGGACACTGGTTAGGGGGACGTGGTGTGAATGGCTCCAGCAGTAAAGGCACAGTCCAGTTTATTGCCAGTCAGATGATTCTCCCCAAAGCCCCAGGCCTGGGAGGCTGCACAGTGGTCAGTTATTATCAGGCCCTTCTTCAGAAAGCTGCCTCCGGACAGGTAGCAACAACCCTGCTGCAGATTCCTCATCATTCTCCAGCCAGCAGCTTCAGTATCACCACACTTTCTGCACTAGGTCGTCTTCCACAGTCACTGCAAAGGTAATGAAGTTAAGGAGCTACTGTTAACTGTGGCGTTCTGTCTAATCTTTTTCAGCTTTTTATATCAAGGCCACAGTCTGTAGGGGGCAGAAATGACTGGGAGTTAGTGAGACTGACTTGATCTGAAATTAAAATTACAATTACAATTCTTACAGTCTCACTACTTTGACTAGTTAGATTGTAAGTGTGTCTCAAAAGTGTTTCTTCATTTTCAAGTGTTCTTTGGAAAGAAGGAACATACAAATTAAATGTGAGAAAATGTTTTCAATGCACTGAAATTGTAAAAAATACTTTTCATGGTCTCTTATTTGTGTAGTTATATCAAAAAGGCATTAAAACAAGAGGCTGCCTCACAGCCCAGTGCAAATCACGCTGGTGTTCTGTAACAGTCTCCTGAAACCCTTTTTGAATCTTATTCCTACAGATGATAAAAACAAGATTGGCTTTGTCTTTAGACATTACATCTATTTTTTTCCACCTACATCCTAGGTCACAGCACCAAGACTGCACCCTTACTCCCACCCCTCCATGGCAACAGTCACTTGGACTAGTTGATTCATCAGCGGAGCAGGAGGAAGGCTGCAGTGCCCAGGTCAGTGGAGATGAAAATAACAGACAGGCAGACAACTACAAAACGCCAGCTCACGCTCAGAGGGCCAACCTGGAAAGCAGTAAAGTCACCGAAGCGAGACTACTGTCACCTTTTCTTTCTTTAGAGCACTGTTCTTATTATAACCTGTCCTTTGACCAAAACTCATCCTCATCTATTGAGAAGGCTGTTGCAGGCACCCCCACCCTGAACTCTTGGTGCAGTCCCTTACAGCCTGTCCACAAAAATGATTTATCACTCAGCTTCAAGACAAAGGGGGTTTCTCCCTGGCAACTTACCAGAGCATTTGGGCCAAACTCCTTGGCTTGGGATGACGTGCCTTTCTCTGAGAGTCTTACTGAATTTTTGTGCAAAGAGAAAGATTTTGACAGTGTTATTGAAACTGAGCCGCATTTAAATTTGCTAAATCAGAAAGAAACAGCAAGAAACAACCTGGAAATCAGATTACAAGAAAAGAACTTATCAACAGAATCAACTTGTGTTTGTCAAAGTAACACACAGACGACAGAAAGTTGGTCCCGGATATTAATGGATATCACTAATGCACCAAATAATGGAAGTGACAGATGTGATTTATCTAACCAGGTCTGTAAGAATCCTGCTGGATGCGTAAACAAGAGTGAAGCCACAATCATTTGTTCCCATGAGTGTAATCAGGATGCTGAGGAAGACGAAGATAATGAGCATGAAGGGGACACTTATGACTGTTCGGCAGACCTATTCAGTAGCTCACCCACAATCAATATAAACACAGAGATGCTCAACACTCACGCAGAAACTATCAGGACAACTGCAGCAGCTTGGCCACAGGTTCCTAGTCCACACAAACAGGAAAGACAATCCGGTGAAAAAGGCGGCATCCCACATTCAGTGCCACACACAGAGAAACTGAGAAGGAATAAATGCATCAACAGAGACAGTTTGACTCCCCCAGTCATAGAAGAGTGTGGTTTCATCCCTCCCTCTCAGTCCACACCCAGTGTAAAATTAGCTGTTGTGTCAGGGTCACGTGCCTCCTCATACTCCTCCCCAAGGTTCCCCCCGACATCAGGTGGACTAGGTTCACAACCTTACAGTCAAGAGTTTTGTGCTTTCACTGGAAATCTGCCTGACCTGGATATGAGCAGCAGACGCTGCCTCAGATTTACAGAGTTTTTGTGCAAGGAAGAAAAAGACTTTGACGGTGTTAGTGAAACACAGAAACATCTCAATGTGCACAATCAGAAAGAAACAGTAAGAAACAACCTGGAAATCCAACCAGAAGACAAAAACCGATCAACTGAATCAACTTGTGTTGTCGGATGTGTAAACAAGAGTCAGTCCAGAAGCATTTGTTGCCACGAGTGTCATCAGGATGACGAGGAAGCTCGTTGTCAGTCTTTTGAAGATAAGGAGGAGCAGCTTGAAGGGGACACCTACGATTGTTCAGCAGACCTGTTCAGTAGCTCACTCACAGAGATGTATACAGAAACTGCCAAGATGACCGCAGAAGCTTGGCCACTGCTTTCCAACACAGATAAACAGCCCCTGAGGAGTAACAAGGTGAATGTCCCAAATTCAACACCACACACACAGAATCAGAGAAGCAGTAGATTCATTAACAGAAACAGTTTGATTCCACCAGTCATAGAAGAGTGTGGTTTCATCCCTCCCTCTCAGTCCACACCCAGTGTAAAATTAGCTGTTGTGTCACGGTCACCTCCCTCCTCTTACTCCTCCTCGAGGACATCCAGCAGACGCTGCCGCAGATTTACCCCAAGCGGGAGGTTCTGGAAACCAGAAAAGTATCAGCATCGTCTGCTGGCTCAGCAGCACCTGAAGGTCCACAGAGAGGCTGTAAGCCTGGGGCCAGCAGTGAGGGCCACCCACAAAGGTGACTCCAGTGTTTGTTATGTGAGTGTGGACAGTGAAGTTCCTCCTACTCCTGTTGCCAAAACACGACCAAGTGTGAAGCTCAGAACAAGAAGGCAGACCGATCATAGCCGCACTGATTTGGATCCTACTTGGGAGGGACAACAGGGAGATGGAGTTAGCTGTAAAAGAACGCTGCTGCATCCAACTGTCACATCAGCACAGGGAGGTCTAGCACAAACAGGACATTATGACAGTGAGATGGTTGGTGAGGGCAGTCAGGATAGATCTGATGGTTTTCTGCTTTATGATGAGAACCAGGCATTTGATTGGTCTAGAGATCTGTTCTCTGACTCGTTCTGACAATTTACTAATTGATCCAGTGCTTACAGTTTGTTTTTTAAATCTATATCAGGAAACCCAAGTAATGATAGACCTGCTAAAATGTAGTAGTGCAGGCACCACTCCCCCAGCTCTGTGCAGAAGGGTCTAAGAAAAGAGCACATATATTAAACACTAAAGACAGAAGAGAGGCTGTTGAAAGGCTCTGCAGAAGCATCTCCTATACATCTGTCACTGTGTATAATTAGACACCTCCTCTAATCAGAGGGCTCATTTCTAAACATTTGCAATAGATTGTTTTATACTCATTATCTCAAGACCCAGGTTCAACTGCATGTACATGAAAGCCTTTGCATAAGAATGATGCTGCGGTGGAGCAACTTCTAATTAAGGCCCATGATTTTGGAATGATATTCAGCAATCACAACTGAATGTTCACATACCTTTAGAGATTTATTTTGAAAGGAAGAATATCCTGCAGATGTTTCAGTTTTAAACTGTTGTTGATTTTCTTGGAAACATCTCGGTTACTAAAACCTGCACCAGATGAGCTTTTGGACATTCAGGTGTGTAATTTTTACCTTGTCTGAGGTGTTCGAGCTATACCTGTGCAGGATGTGCCCATTAGTAACCAGCACCTCTCTGCTGCTGTATCCTCACTGTCATAGGGGGCAACCCTGTACTCTCTTGGTTTTATAGAGTGACAGTTAAATGATAATGTGTATGATTAGGTGTTTATCTGATGAATTTAGTGCTGCTACGCCTAAAGACCATTAGAATTTAAATATAAAATTATCAGCACAGACTTATTTTTCTTTATCCGATTTGATAATAGATAATAGGAGTGTGATTTGGAACAAAGGTCTCCAGCTGGAATTCAGCCGGGGACATTTTAATTTCTAAATATGATATGCATTATACCTCCAGGGCCAGCAACCCCTGTCATCTTTTGAATGCTCTCCAGTCTAGTTTGAATCACGCTGACCACTCCTGGCAGCAGAGGTCTGGCCTGCTGGTCTGCTGACACTGTGTGTATGTGTTTGCAGGAGTGATAATGCAGAGGAGTATGTGGACAGTACTATGCCAAACAGCTAAGAATAGCAGCCTGAAAATATCATGACTACAATGTTCTGGATCTCTGAGTAAAGGAGAGAGAGAAAGAGAGAGCGTGATGAAGGTGATGGTTCTGTGTAAAAATGGAACTGGGACGGGATGTAACCAGCTGGAGCTTGTAGAGTATGTGAGGTCTGTGTAGATGTTACAGTATATTATTTAGATCGTCTTATTTACTTGAAGTGACATGTTCCATTTTTAGTATCAGACCACTAACACTGAGGAACACATGAAAACTACTGTGCCTAAAAGCTCTTTTTGGCACGTTCTAGGCACAGTGAAGTCAGTCAGTCAGTTGGTCCATCCCTCAAAATATCTAAAGGACTGTAAGGTGGATTTTTGTGAAATTTTGCACACATGTTCATGATCCCAGAGGATGTACAAACAGGCAACAAACAAAATGACAATCCAACATAAAGCGTCCCAGTGAGGTGCTGGGCCACCACGTGCCACCAGAACAGCTTCACCTTGGCATCGACTCTCCAGGTCTCTGAACTCTCCTGGAGGGATTAACACTGATTAACACTGATAACAGTTGTTCCCTCATGTGGTGTTTTTGATGACGGTGGTGGAGACACTGTCTAACACGTCACTCCAACATCTCCCATAGCTGTTCAACTGGGCTGAGACCTGGTGACTGGGAAGGCCACAGCATGTGATTCACATCATGGCCATCCTCATCAGACCAGTTGGTGACCCCTTATGCCCTGTGGATGGGGACACTTGTTCTGGAGGAGACTACTCCCATCAGCATGGAAAGGTTTCATTATAGAATCACTCACAACAGCTTTGCATTGATCTGCAGTGACCCTTCCCTCGAGGGTACAAGGGGACCCAAGCCATGCCAGCATCGTCATTTGTTTCTCCAGTCATTTCTTCAGGTTTTTCCTTTAATTTGTCACCTGTATGTGTATTAATGATTGGTGTTCTCCTGACTTTTTATCAAACACTACCATCAGAAATTTGATTTATCCACTGACATATCTTGCCTTCGGTTCTGTACCGGAAACAAATTCCTTGTGTGTAACATACTTGGCCAATAAAGGTAATTATCCTTATCCTCATGATGGTTTGGCACATACTTTGGTATAGACATCCATGGTTTCCAGAGGATGAGTTTTAAGAACTCTGATGTTCCCCTTTCAGAACATTTGTAGTTCAGAGTAAAATGTTTTGGCAACATCATGAAGGTTTGAGTGTCGCACAATGAGCAGAAACGGCATTTTTATCCATTTCAAATTAAATCTAGGACACAAACGTGCAGGAGGTGCTGGGGTCTGAATGTTCCAGCTGTGAAGGACGCCCATCTTTAAAGTGATTCGAGGAAAGCTGTAAAGAAAAGAATGAGATGCATTTGTACAAGATAAGTAACATGTCTGCAGTGTGTGGTGTGTTCTCTTGTTTCTTCTGCTGGCAGAAACATGCTGTGTGTTGGCAGCTAGTGTGTGTAAATAAAGAAGGCCCTGTACCTTGCTAGAAGATAGTACAGAACGTTAGCTATGGGAGTAGTCTAAAACCCATTCTCTGTGATGTGTCCCTGTAGTTGATGTTTTACTGCTGTGCCACACTGGCATTCAGCTGCCTGGTATGGTGTTTCGTTAGTTTGAGTGTATGTGCGCCAGAGAATTTTGGCTTCAGGTGCTTCAGTAATAAAACAATATAAATATAACCATCAGTGTCAGTTTCGTGCACTTTAATTTATTGTCTGCTTCTTGAATTTAGTCTCAGAACGTAATGTGTTTCCAAACCTTGCAGCTGTGTGTTTAGGTGTGTCTCTGCCAAGTGAGACCCTCTCTCTGCATGTAACCGGCACGGTGCATGATATACAAATGGTCTTACATTCAATGAAAAATTCTAAAATGAGTGGAAATTTTTTAAAATGCAGGGCTCACTGATTGCTCTGCAGATTACTTGTTGACAGTTTATCTAGTTTTTTCCCACTGAACATCAGACACTGGGGAAAAGTCCTACTGTGACCCTCCAGAGCCAAAGGTGGCGTCTCCACATGTCCACACAGATCCACAGAGACTCAGCTGATTCTCAGGTCTGACAAAGAAAAGCATCAGCTCCTCACATTAAAGAAGGTGGAACCAGAACATGTCGGTGACTGTTGCTTCTAAATAGCTGCCAGTTAATCTTCTACCAGTGAACTGACTCATGGCTGCAGCTCTAGGTCACTGAATGGCTTCATGAGGACGACACAGTGGGTTGGACACAGTGAGGGGATCTGGTTTGGAAGGAGGAGGTTTCCTCCCTCCGACAGAGGAGACCTGACAAAGCTCTGGAGACATGGCCCTGATGAGGCTCTGTTGGCCACTGTATGCTAGTTTACCCTTTTATTTGTCACCAAGCTCCCAATGAATGGAAACACTCAAAGCAGTTGTATACTTAGCATACAGTATGTGTGGTGCTTTGTAGGTCATTAGTGCTTAAATGGTAACATTTCTTTTATTATGATGATGCTGAAGTTAATTACCTTTATTAGACAGTCACAGTGTGGAAAGTGACAATCGGCTTGGGGAGAGACAGGAATATGGTTTATCAGATGTCCAGATTGCTCTATTTTGTTGATTTTATATGAATTAATACTGCATTCTGGTACATGCAACACTCAAATATTTTTAGATGAGACAAATTCTAATTTTTGCTTCATACTAATGCAAAAAGTACTATCTGTTCAACTTATTTCTGTATAAAGTATTACAATTTGATATGATTGAGTTTGTCAGATTAATTTATTTAACAGACAGTAAATTGCTCCTCAGTTTATTCTGTCAGTATATTTCAATAATTAGCACACCCAAAATAGTCGTTTTTTTTTGTATATTTTATATAAATATTTTGGAAAAATTGTATATTTTTTACAAGCATACTGTGCATTTGTATGATTTATTGATTTAGATATGTTTTATTTGGTGTGAAAATGATTTGTGTAGTGATTTGTTTGTCCCACAAGACTGATTGTAAGAGTTCACTATGTAATGGTACATGTTGCAGGAGTATTTCCATTACACAGTTTCCAGGCTGGAGAGGTGGCTGTAACATTAGAGTACTGTGGAACTTAAGAGGCGTGACAAGCACGTGGTGAAAGGGTGGAGAAATTGCTTAGTATGGAGTTGTCAACAAAGCATCGAGCCGGTGGGCAGTTCATAGTCCTGGCACCAGAGATGCTTCCCTGTGTAGAATTAAAGCTAATAGAAAGTGTTCAGGCCCACTGTGTGCAGACTTTGTGTTTTAAATTTAACTGTTAATTGATGAAATAGCCTTTTTGTCCAAACCGATGAACAAAAAAGCAGTTTCATCATCTACACTCAGACCGATTTATGTCTCACCACAGTTTTATCACAGAGGTCTACAGAGTTCTTGGGCTTCATGGCTTGTTTTTTTGCTTTTTGTGAAGTTTGAGAGCTTATATGCACATGTATGTGCCTTTCTAAACTATGTCCAGTCAGTTTGCCACAGGTGGACTCCAGTCAGGTTCTAGTTCTCAAGCCAACAGGATGTCACGGCAAAGGTTAAATACTTTTGTAAAGGAGATATTTCAGTTTTTGTTTTTCCAATAGTTTTGCAGTAAAAAAAAGCTAAACATGTTTTTCACTTTGTCACAATGAGTTACTGAGTGTAGATCGATGGTCAAAAATTGCAGTTTTATCCATTTAAAATTAAATGTGATTGGTTTGAATACTTTCTGAAGCCACTGTGGATACATCACAGATTTCTTCCACAGTGTATCTGCAATGGCTTGTGTGTAACTCGAACAGTGCAGTCGAATACTGTTGACAGTGGGTTCTCCTTCAGAAAATGTTATTATTCTACATATGATTCCATATAGTTTTTTTTAATGTTGATGCTTAGTACTCCATATTTGAGTATTAAAAAAACACCTCCTTGCTATCATGCTGTGATGTGAATAGAAACACTGGATCTGTTTGCTACAGTTCTGTGGTCTCCTTTTGGTTCTCTGTGGGCTGGTCCCAGCGCCCCTCCATAACAGGCCATGGAGACGGTGACGTTAGACGCAAGGCTCCTCATAAGCATGTCTCTCTGCGTCACACTATGCTCCCAATATGAAAAGCGTGTGATTGTTTTCCGAATGAGACAGAGGCTGTAGATAGTAGCTTGAAGGAGGCTCTTTTGTCCATTCAACTTCAAGCGAGTCCTGATAGGACCCTGCACACCACAGGAGAGTGGGGTAATTGTTGCTCCTCTTCCAGTGAAAAATGGAGGTAAGAGAATATTTCTACCTAATTTACATGTTCAAGCTGTCAACAGTAATATGACTTTAAAATAAATCAAGTAAGAGTTTGCTCATCATTGGGGTCCAGACTTTATATTTTGCTGAAATATTTATTAATAATTAGGCATGCTGAAATTATATAGATTTATTGTCTTTTTGATATGCATAGGCTATGAGGTAGTTATATAAAACAGGTAACTTGCAAGCATTTGTGCAGTATAAGACATACAGTAGAGAAGACTTTTTGTGTTTGTAGAGTCCTGGATGAAAACTGACAGAAGGTGTAGGCCAGTTATGCTCACTTAGCAAAAACAAGTGTATAAAGTTTTCATCAGTAGTGGCATACATTGCTTTGCAAGGTCTAAACACCTTTTTAAAGTGGAAACCCATGGTGCATGTTCAGATAAGAGATGGCAAAGCCCCCAGTGCAAGCACTAAAACAGACATACTATTGGAATGAGGCTTATTTCTGTTTAATATCTACTTATGACTGAGCTCTGTTCTCTTCAGGTGGCACCTTGTGTCCAGGAAGTTAGTAGCCACATTGCATCACTGTTGACAAGCCTGAACCTCCAGCGAGAACAAGCTCAGTTCTGTGACTGTGTGGTCAGACAGAGCCAGACCCCGGGGCAGCTCTACCATGCACACAAGTGAGTGACATCAGATAGTTTTTCAAAGTCAAGTCAAAGTGTTTATTTGTCATATGCACAGTTATGAAACATGTTTTCCTGTACAATGAAATTCTTACTTTGCCATCCACATGAATGCCACACAATACAAGTGAAATATCAGGTAGATGAGCCATAACATAAATCTAAATAGGCAGTAAAATCACAAATCTAAGGCACTTTAAAGGAGCAAGTGAAGGGAGCAAATAAAAATACAACAAGAACACAATATAATGCAAGAGAGAATATATGCTACATGGGAGCCTTGGAGTGCAAATACTCCATATCATACACCAACAAACACCCCAACTTGTACATACTGGCAAAATGTTTGAATGTCCTGTGTGTTTTACATCATGGTCATGGTTTTATGCAGCATCATATCCCTAGTTGCTCTGTGCTCTCTCAGGTGTGTCCTGGCAGCTTCCAGTCCAGTGCTGGCATCTATGCTCTCCTCTGCTGGTGTCCTGGTGGAACTGCAGGCTCCATGTTTATCTGGCTCTGTGCTGGCACTTCTTCTGGACTACATTTATAAAGGGACTTTGCCAAATGCTTGTAGCCAGCAACAATATCACAGTCTGCTCACTGCTGCCTGCTACTTGCAAATGCATGAGCTGCAGGAGGCTCTGTGCACTTGGCAGCAAACTGAGGTGAGTGATGCAGATAAAACAAATGCTTCTACTGGAACTGAAAATCAGCCATATGAAGACATTATCACTGACTTTAGAAAACTTGAAGGTACAGATACTTGCACTGTGCAAAGTACTGCAAAATCACCGAAGAGACAATATTCTGCCATTGTAGAAACATATGGTGAACCACAGATGGATTCAGCCAGTACAGACCCCCACATTAAAGAAGAAGAAACAGATGCATGTGGAGCTAGCAGTATAAATGGTGCAGACTGCTGTAGTAGAAAAGATGCAAGCACTCGAAGTACCTGTTGTAATACACCTGAAGGTGGTGATAACTGCAGACAAGTAACTCATCTGACACCTCATAGTTTGATTCAAAATATCCTTAGCACCACTGAAGTGCACAGCATGTCCACAGTGGTCAAAGAGCTGCAAAGGGATCAGTTTCATTCAGCTGGCACTGTAAACACAGAGACTTGGCAGAAGAGCAGACAGGTGGAGCTAATGAGGACAGTTGAGGACAGGAGGAGCTCCTCCTTATCCTCTTCCTCATCAGCACATCCATGCTGTGGGGCAGTGCCTGTCATCTGTCACAGCCGAAGATCAGCTTTGATCCAGCTGGCCGAAGAATCTACAATGCCTGCTTACCAGTCAGTATCCCAGGCCTCTATCAACTCCAGCAGACCCCCTGTCTCACAATCAACAAGTGCAGACAATGAGAGTGTTGTTGACAGTAGTACCACCACACAGAAAAACCATCCCAGGGTAGAGAATCTGGATTACAGGAACAATAAAGAGCACACTGGAACACCGAGGCGGGATTATAAGAACAGGTCAAATCAATGTGCAAGACATGATTTACATTACAAATCCAATACAGATCAGTCTGGCATGTTGAAACAAGACTACAACAGCAGCAGTTCAGATCACTTGGTAAAGGTGAATGATGAGCGTACTGGCAATGGAATAGCCCGCGCTGCAGATCATAATGAGCACCAACCTCCATGTGATTCATTTCAGGACAAGAATCACACAAAAAATTTTAGAGGTTATTCAGTTTGCAGCGGTTTCATCAGAAGATTAAAAACTGACTTCAGCTGTGATGATTTGCCCTCCAAACGTCAGCGACTGGATTGTTCTGACTGTCAAGATGTCTCAGCATCGGCTGTAGCAGAGGAGCATGCACAAGATCTGAGAACTGTAGGTCCACTTCCTGCAGAGGACTCGGACACAAGAAGTGACTCTCCCTGTGAAGATCTGTGTCCCGAGGGACAAGCAAAAGAGGAGCACAGTTACTCTAGCAAGTGTCCAGCTCAAATTGATGGACAGAACAGCCACTGTAGCCTTTATGGACCTAAGACAGATTGGTACCCAAAACTGCATAGAGCTGAGACAAGCACAAAAGATGCTGCATCTAGTCAGTCTCATTGGGACTCAGGCAACAGAGACACAGCTACGGAAGGCAGAAGACATGGTGCTGATGTTTGTCCGTTTCTCTCCAACACACCAGAATCAAGTTTGGATAATGTCACTGAGGGTTTCTCCGAACGCTGCACCGACACTGAGACCACAGTGCCACACTTCAAGTTTACAATTCCTGCAGACAGCAACATATTGGATCCCATGTGTAGTGCTGTGGGGCAGTCATACCGTGGACATCTCCATTATCACTGCCTACACCAGGAGGACACACACTTATCACGTGGACATTCTGATCACAAACGCTCCCACGCTAGCTGCCCTGATCATGGAGATCAGTCCAGTGATGAGGAGGAGGCTGGTACCTTTGCCAGTCCAGGTCACAGTCCTCTGAGGCAGCACTTTGCCACCGGTACAGACCAGGTTCTGCTGCTGGACATCAGCACCAAACCTGTAGAGTTACTTATGTCCTACAAACATAGATCTGACCAAGAAGAAAAAGCGGTTGTGTTCAACAAAAATGACACATTTGGGACTGGGATCAGGAATAATAACAGCAAGGAAAGGAATGCAGAAACATCTGTAGCAGCAGTTGACAAGAGAAAAACTAGAGCTGAAACAACATTCGGAGCCAAGAGTGTTGCTGAGACTGAATCTTGGGTTAGAGAAACAAATGTTGAAGAAAGGAAATTACGTGGTAAAGACCAAAGCAATCTGGGAGCTGAGACTATAAATAAAACGGGGGTTTTGGAGGTTTCTAGCTACCAAGAGGATGAGAACCAGGCTAGTGCCTTGACAGCATGTACACTTCTTTCTATACCAGGTTCTTTACAATCCACCATGTCATCTCCCTTGTCTGTTTGCATACCTTCTACTCTTTCAGCCAGCATGCCAACGAATATATCAGCTCATCTGTCATCTCCTGTTCACCAGCCTTTCCAGTGTTCTCTGTGTGAACGTTCCTTCAGCCAGCGAGGCTCTCTGAATAGACATGTGCGGAGCCACCTTGGCGTACGGCCCTTTCCCTGCCCTCGTTGCCCCATGACATTTTCCCGCCAGTACCGTGTCACAGAGCACATGCGTGTTCACCAGCGTTGTACCCTGGGGAATGACTTTCACAAGCCATATATTAACTAAAAAAATATTGAAAGCAGTTATAGTCAGTGTTTTTATGTTAAGAATAGAACACAGTGGGTTCAGCTAAAGCGATGACCCCACAGAAAATGATCGCCTGACTTGTGGAGCTTTGAATCATTTTTCAGCTCAGTTTTATAGTCCATAACACTGACGTTTGACCTCTGTTTTCAGCTAAGAAAGCTCTAAAAACAACCATACACTACCTTCCTAGTTAGCAGCTAGCTTGTGTGGCGCATTTAGTAGCTAAAGAGCTAATTGTCTTTGGAGTTAGTGGAGACCAAATGAATGATCGCAGCAACTATAAGTGGTATTTTCATATTAACAATGTATCAATTGACAAAGGGGTCGTTCATAGTGATGAACCTGCAGAGGATTCTCACCTGGATCTGCAGCTCCTCTCAGCTTCACATAATGAGTTTCAACTAATCTCTTAACTGTCTGCAGAGAGGCTACAACTGATAATTAGGCCAAAGGGAGACAGGTGTTGGCTTCCTCAATACTTTGGACTGACAGTTGTTGGTGTGCTGGTTTTAAATTAAACAGCTTGTCTTGAATAGTGGTTTTGTTAAGCCAAATTTTTGTATTTTTATTATACCGTGTGTAATTTTAGCGTTGGCAAAAAAAAATAGGGGTATAAATGCCCCGAGGTGTTTGCTTTAAGTAGGTCTCCCATAAATCTTAGATGACAAGAATTTGGGCAGTTTTATGTCCTGGTGCAGGGTATCTTAACTAAACAGTGCTGTGTATGTTTACAGGTAAAGTACTGACTGCTGTTTACTTTATTACTGGTTTATTGTTATATTTTGATTGTATTAGTGTTTTTAGGACTTAGTTTCATAGTATTTTAATTATGTATCTTTTTGTTTCTACTACAGCAGCTTGTGGTAGCCTTCATCCACAAGTCTGGTCAGTGTACTCTGAGTTCACTCACCTATAGACTTTCTTTGTGTTATATCTGTTTTTGTGTGAACTTAAATTTTAGTGCTTTTAATAATGTCTTTATTCAGTGCACTGTTGTAAATGAGAGCTCTCAATCGGGTTTGTGGCAATAAAGATTGATGATGACCTACAGACTTGTGTTTGTGGCTGCACATTTTGTGGTGCTTCGATTTGTTTCACTGGCTTTGTCTAATAAGTGGCACAATTGCTTGTTCTTTTTTCCCCTTTTTAGAATTTTTAGTTCTAGTTAATAGATAGCCATAAATAGCCAGTATTGTCTTCAACTTGTTTCTGCTGTCCTCATAAGCCTTGCCCTTGACTACTGTTTTATTGTCTTTACAAATTGAAACCGGCCTATATGTCAGAAAACTTTGTCCTGTGGGGGATTAGTGCAAACATGTTGAAAGTAGCAGTTGAATGTGTATATGGTGGGGAAAGTTCAGAATAGAATAGAATAGAGTAGGTACTTTATTGATCCCACAGTGGGGAAATTTCCGTGTTACAGCAGCAATAGAGAACAACCAACATAACACCATAAGGACAGACACATAAGAACAGAACTTCATAAAAACACGGAAAAGAACACAACGAGGACACAGCTGCTGTAACTTTCTGCCACTCCGCGCTGCGCATGCACACATAGGTACGTAGTAACAAAGAACACTTATTCTTAAAATAAGTTGGAAAACCAAGCACCTGGTACCAAAACCGAGTAGAGTTGAGTTGAGCCAGTACCAGGCAGTGGAAAAGGGGCTTTAGTGAGAGGGACGTGCACAGCTCTCAGCTCTGTTTGTTTTACCTGGCTCTTTGTGGAACGTAGGGCAGCACCGGCAAAAGTTGACATTACAATGAAAATAATCCCTCCAGCAACTGCATAGAACAGGAAGATCACTTCCACGGCCATGACCTGGACAAACACAAACACATCTCAGACAAAAAATTTGGGGGCCTTGGCTTCAGCCCAGGTTAACCCTTGTGTTAATCCGGCCTTGCATATAGACTGGTATATTATACCCCTCCCCAATGTCATTTTTAAAATCTGGCATTTACTTATTAGTATCATGTAATTTAGCCATACTGCTTTGGATTGTTGATCAAGAATATAATGGACCACTACCAACAAGAACAGCAATTGTTAATAAAAGTATTAACCACCTGATAGTGTAGAAAGGATGATGCATCATCAAGGTCTGTTGAATTACTGCCTTCATGAAAGTCAGTTTGGTGGATGTAGTAGTCATGGTTAACTATTGTGCTGGGCAGGACTAACAAGACAGCCCAACATACCCCAAGTAAGAGCCAATGATATAGTGACCTGCATGTAAACAGAGAGAGACAGACACCACTAATAGTTTATGTTCAATCAGTTAATAAAAAGGGGGATTGATTAACATCTAAATAATAATGGAATTTATGCATCCTAGCAGATGTAATTTTAAGAGTTTATAACCAAGTAATTGAAATTTATAATTGAAAAACGTCAGAAATATTATAGTTATTCTTTAAATGGATTATTATCTTTAATAAACATTTATCTGCATAACTCTGATAACACAGTCCTCGCAAAACTTGCCAGGATTGTTTCAGAATATTACAACAGTGCTTACTGTTTTCTTGGTTGTGTGGTACTCCGTCCTGATATACATAATCCCACATGCGATGAACTACAGGATGAAGAGGGAAAAACTGCTTTATTATTCATTCCTCATATGTTTTCGAACCTCGTGAGGCCTATTTTATACTGTACACAAGCCATATAGATGCAGTGGTAAACGCATAGGTGAAGCAAATGTTTTTTGTACATTGGGTAAATCCCAGTTCCCGTAATTGGATCCACTTTTTTGCTCACTTCTGTTTTTTTTTGTTGCCAAGTCCGACCCACATAAGATGCAAGAGAAAACTGCAAGGAGAGAGTAATTGAGGATACGTTTAAACAGCCATGAGACATCCTTTCCTCTAATCCTTTATCTGAGGCGTCTGATAATAAACTGATTTCTGATAAAGGTGCGTCGGTCCATAAAAAAAAACTTCTCCTCTAGGCAGTCACCTTGATCCTTGGTCCTGGCTCCTCAGAGCAGGATGTCCTTGGTCATAACTCAACCTGGAAATCATTTCAGCTGAGCGAGGAACTTTGACATAAGAGACTTGGGATGTACCCACAGAAAATAAGCTTCCAAAGGCGGTGCAGTGCTGCTGCTAAATTGCCACCATCAAAAGAAAAAAAAAAAGGTGAAGATGGTACAACTGGCCAAAAGTGCTCCTCATTGTGCGCCATTGCCATTTTATGGTTTATTGACATCGGAACAAGTTCTTCTTCTCTAAACAAAGACTTCAGTGTAGAGTGAAAGTGCAGTATTTGCATATGTGCCTTTATCCAAAACACAAGAAATAACACTTGCGCTTGCGTTGTGTTCCAAAATTTTGGACTATGTAGTTTGCGTACAATATGAAAGAGCCTTTAGACTACATTTAGTAAAAATAAATTTTTGGTGATTAACTACAGAAATCAGTTCAGATTACATTGGGTTTTGGTTATTTGTCTAGCCAGCTTTAAATGGGCTGCTTAGAAAATGAATAGTCCATTAGCCACTATCATCCACTGATGAATAATAATTGTTGTGTCATGCTGCTAACCTTTGCTCCTAGCACACCTAGGAAGGTGTAATTAATCTTTCTGGAGCCCGCGGTCCCAATGGAAATGGTGAAGAAGGAGACACCCAAGACCAGCACAGTGATCTAAGAGAAAATCAAAGTCTAGTATGACTTGATTTTGTTTTCTTTACATTTTTATTTTCTGCAACAACTGAATCTTTACGTTATGCTATGCAGTTATCAAATCTGTGAACTGTGAACAGTATTTCAAAAGCAATAAGTATTTGATAAACAGGGATTCGAATGTGTGTGTGTGTGTGTGGCTCACACCAACAGTCTTGGGTTGCCCCTTAATGAAGCGATGTAATGGTTTGCTGCCCCTTGAAGACTTGTATTATTCCCTTCTGGTCCACTTGCGGAGAGGAGCTCAGCAGACATCTTGTGGATAAACACACAGGACAGGAATAAAGAGAAAACATTCATATGTTGGCACTTACTTGTATTTGCTGCACCCATTTTGAAAAGAACAGATTAGGTGTTGGTTTGATTTTGCTGAGTCTGATAGGCATCTTGGTTCTTATTCTGCCTCTTGTCAAATCCTGGAAATGATTCCTGTCACATAATTCACAAGCTATCTACAGTTTCAGCAGCTTTAGGCTGCAGTGAACAATGTTTTGCCCTACATGAGGAGATGTTTTATGGGTGTTTTGGATAAATTAAAGGAAAATCACATCTATTTTACATTTAATGAAGTTTATTTTTTGGACATAATTTTTAACAAGGTACATTTAGTTTTATTATATCTGACCACACTTATTTACTAAAGCATAAGCAGAGACTTACTACTGTGTGGGCACTGATACATGAATCCTGAAATGTAGATGCAAGTGCAGTGATTCCTAAAATTTCTTGAAAATGTTTTTTCAGGAATAGGAAGCACTGGAAATTCCCTAACCTCTCATTGGGCCCAGCAAAACTATTTATGAACCCTAACTCAATTAGGACTTTGATGTAATCTATTTTATTCAGATTTTTATTTATAGGTGGCACTGGGGAGGGGCTTGGGTGTGCTGTAGCTACCTGTAGGATAGCCATAGAAAGCGGTGGAATGAATTATAGTTTAATGGAGGTGTAAAAAAAAGCCCAGGGGATATAGGATACTGAGCACTCCTTAAGTTTTTAGAGTGCAGGACTGAGCAAAACAATATAATGTGAACCGAGTGAGGTAATTTAATATCTAAAATAGTAGTAGTAGGCCGTTCTGATCCATACTTCAGTCTATAGGTGGCGGTAATGCACCTAAAGCTATTTGCCAACAGCGGCATTGTTTATGAAGATGTCCTGTGGTAAGTGAATGATCCTTTCCTGTGTTACGTGAATGGCGTAGAACATGTGTGAATAACCGGTGAGCAGTCTGTACGTATGGTGTGTGTGTGTGTGTGTGTGTGTGTGTGTGTGTGTGTGTGTGTTCTTATATGTTCAAACCTGTATCTTGCCTACTCTGTGTTTATTGTTTATGAAAGAAACTTTGATGATGTTTGGTGGTTTTAGTTAAGCTCATATTGCCTTATAATACAGCTCAGATTAAGTTACACCCTGTGTGATGGGTGCTATTAATGCATTTCTCAGGGTTTTGTTTAGTCACCTCTAGCATACTAGTACTGCTATGTGTTTACTACTGGGGTATAACCTGATGGACTTTTACAGTAATGGCAGCCTGGATCCTCTTATCTGGACTGAACAAACGAGGATTGTGCATCTGCTTAACATAATTTGGGTGTGGTAATATGCTGGAGTGGAATTAACATGTTATTGCCATCCAGAGTGGGGGTAGTGTTACGTGAATGGCGTAGAACATGTGTGAATAACCGGTGAGCAGTCTGTACGTATGGTGTGTGTGTGTGTGGCTGGAGGTGTGGTCGAGGGAGAGCGTGTGACGTATGGGCGTAGTAGACGAGAGGTCAGTATGAGCGGGTTGGGGAGAGTGTGAACGGAGTGTGAAAGAGGGGACAGTGAAATTCAACCGATGTGGGCGACATTGTTCATGTTGAAGGAAAGTGACAATAAAAGTTCGGTTTCCAAGGAAGTTGCCCGAGTGTTCTTGCTCGCTGCTACAGATCACGGTGAAGGGAGATAACCCCGAGGCGGACTGCAGCCTTGGCCCTGGAGCAGACATCAGCCTCCCCTGCGCCACTCGACTACGGTCCTGGAGGCTGAAAGCAGGAAGGGTTACACCTGTATTGTCTGTCATGAATTTAATGCATTTGACAGTTCGGGTACACATTTTGACTCCTTACAGTGATTTTATATATTTTTTTTATTGATATTACTTTAGGTTTAGGAATGGAATAATGTTGATTTGTAGCCGATGTGTTGGTAGCATAGGTTTGTGAGGCTGAAATGTGACCTGTGTGTTGCTTGGTGCTTGTGTGCACCTTCTGGCCGAGGCGTAACTGTGTCCAGTTTAATGTTCAGAGGTGTGTTACTGTAGGCTGGTTTGTGAACCTCAAATCTGAATCCAACCAGCTGAGTTGCTTGTGTTTAACACAGAGGTGCATTGTTGAGTGTTGTGTTAAACAGGGACTGTACGGAGGTGGGTCTTTGTAAAACTTGAACCTTCGATTCAATTCGTAGTAATGCAATCAGGCATTCGTCGGTGCTAAGTGTTGGATGTAGTCTGTAGGCTGTGTTTAGAGTTAAGCAGTTATAGGCAACAGTTGCCTGTGACAGATGTCGACATTTTGCTTCCACTGCAGAGCTGTACCTATTTATGATTAAAACAATTTATTAGATTTACCTATAGATGGCCTACTCTACCTCCTGAGCCACAGCCACCCAGTAACTAGACATTACTGGTGGGCTATACATACCCTATAAAGAAGATCAAGGCTGCAATCATTCTATTTATTCTGTCTTTGTGTTGTAGACTATACACCTTTTAGGCCTTTCTACCAGTTTAAGTGCCTCTAAGGATCCAGTATAACCAGTGAAATGCATTCTTCTTCTTGCCAAAACGTGATTACAACTAATATCTTTGGCCTCACATTGTCATTGTTTCACCCTTATGAGGCATATTTTAATTATCAGCGCTCTAGTATCTTAGTACCAGTTTCTCTAACTCTAAAATGCTAGTACAGTGTGACCATTCTTCACAGAATTCTCCTCTTGAGCCTTCTCGGTGCTGTGGGCCCAACTCAATGAAACTCCAGTTAGTGAGCGGGCACCCAGCTGGTGACCCTGTAGACCTGCCTTCACTCCTACACCCACACAGAACTTGTACTGCTGTTGGTGTTATTATAGTTACAGACTCACTGGAATTGTTAATAGTCGTCTTGGTGGAACAGTGTCAGTGGTTGGACAACTGAGCGGACGCAGCTCTCAGAGGTGACTGTCGCTACAAGCCAGCTGGGCCAGCTACTGCTTAACCTGAGAAAATACAGTAGATGATATGTGTCACGCCACATATCTGCTCTTTGCTTGGGTGAGGACAGGCATGTAAGGGTAGGTTAGGTCTAGAAAATGGTGTTACTTATTATGGGGTTCTGAAGGTTTATGACGGCATGGCCGGACACCCCCCTTTAACTGATATACCGAGCTTCCATATGGATGCTCTCTCATTCTTTGGCACATTTAATTGTGTATTATTGACTGACATTCTGTAAAGTGATTAGACCACCTGTTTGTTTATTTTTTGCCTCAGATAACCCTTATTTCACTCTTATGGGTTATATTTTAAAGACCGTTAACAATCCACTGCTTTTGTACCAGTTTATATACCTCTAAAGGGCCAGTATGATCCAGTTTTCTCCCTGTCAGAGAGTGATTACAGCTAATAATTTGGTGCTGAAAGGGGTTTTTAATCCCTTACCACCAACATTGGACACTCATCAGTTTGCCTATAGAGCAAATAGGTCTACGGAGGATGCTGTGGTCATTGCTCTTCATACTACTCTGACTCACCTGGAGCAGCAGGGTAGCTATGCAAGACTACTCTTCGTAGATTTTAGCTCTGCTTTCAACTCCATGCTTTCCCATAGATTGGTGGCCAAACTAGTAGACCTTGGCCTACCCCACTCTACATGCCTCTGGGTTAAGGATTTCCTCTCAGACCGAACCCAGAAAGTCAGAGTAGGCCCACATACCTCCTCAGCTCTTAACCTCAATACGGGATCCCCCCAGGGTTGTGTACTGAGTCCCCTACTCTACATCCTGTACACACATGACTGTAATCCTACCCACTCTAGCAACACCATCATCAAGTTTACTGATGACACGACAGTGATAGGGCTAATCTCTGAGGGGGATGAGTCGGCCTACCAGGATGAGGTACAGCAGCTATTCAAATGGTGCAAAGATAACAACCTGGCTCTTAATACCACCAAGACCAAGGAACTGATTATAGACTTCAGGAAGAATAAAACAGCTATCCAGCCCCTGCTCATAAATGGGGACTATGTGGAGAGGGTGACAGTCTTCAGGTGTCTGGGAGTCTATATAAAGGAGGACATTACCTGGACAGCAAACACTAAGGAGCTAGTTAAGAAGGCACAGCAGAGA